TATGACTAATATGTTGCAAATTATGATAGGAGTAACTATATATTATTTATTTTAAAAAATTATGTTTCTGCATGGTAATATAATATAAAAATATAGATCTTCTCTCTCATTAATGCATTATGATTTTATTTAAATTTTATTGAAAATGATTTCCATGCACATCACCCAAGTTTTATGTATGTATTTGTCATATATATTTACTTATATAATATTTTAGTATCATTATGGGTCAAAATTTATATTTTAGTATCACAGAGGTAGAAGAGAGTGATGGATTCAACGGAATGTATCTTCGGTGTCGTCTTGTTGAGCTTGATCCACTGGTAAGCCAGAAAAAATAGCTTGAAGAAGGTTTCTTTGAGAGTTTCCTCTACAGGGAGGGAGGGAGGGAGGGAGGGAGGGAGATAAAGAGAGGGAGTCTGTGTGTCTTGGGAAAATGATCTAGACAAACCCTCTCTCCCCTCTGACTTCCCTTTCATAATAAACGAGAGAAAAATAAAAAATACAATCTATACAATGACACACATATATGTTGTTTTGATGAAAAGACTGCAATGTAGATACCAAACGACGCTTTTAAAGAAGAACAAACTCGCGTTATTGATAGTAGTGATCAATAATAACCTTCTATGATATCTTTCTAATTCTTAGGTAGGCCAAGTCACATCCACATAACAGATAAACTCAATCACTTCAACAAATAAGTTCAGTACAATCACTTTGACAATTAAGCTCATTTCAAAAAAAAAAAAACAATCCAAAACTTCTTTTATATATATATATATATATATATATATATATTTATTTATTTATCTATTTATTTATTTAATAAAAAAACTCCGAAAAAATAAACTAGAGTGGAGGCCATGTGTTATTCATAAAGCTTGGCATTTTAATATGGCACATATTCACATGCAACAAAATATTCAAAACTAATATTCCCCTTCTTTATTGTCCTTCTTTAAAGCCTTAACTTTTTGACCATACTCAATAATAGGTTTTTTTTTAATTTTTAATGCGCCATTTTCCATATATATATATATATATATTATATAAAGGCGTTCTTATAATTTGATATTTATGAATGGCTTATAATTTAATATGAGGAATGGTTTAGGGGTATAAATGTAAGAAAAAAATAAGTTAGGGGTTAGATATGTAAATACTTAAGAAAATGGATGGTAGTAAAACAATGTAATAAAATAATTATTTGATGTCAAATCTAAAAATAGATTATTATAATAAAATTTTAATTAGTGAATCTCTGGCCTCCGGCTCAGTTCTTTTGTCTTTTTATGATTAGTTTAATTAACCTCGATTAACGAAAATTAGGGCAAATGTGTAAATTTAAATTTGCAACCACATGCCATTTCACTTATTTACGTAGTAATAATAATAATAATAATAATAAATACAGTAAAGCGTTGAGAAGAAAAATAGAAATCGACACAAATTAAGAATAACACACAGAGATTTAACGAGGTCCGGTAAAGATGCCTACATCCTCGGAAGCAGAGCGGCGACTTCATTTTCCATATTCAGAAAAGAATACAAAATACAAGATTCAGCTCACCTAGTATTACAGATAGGACATATATATAACCCTATAGTACAAGATGTAATTACTTAAATTATCTCTGTACCAAACCGCGGGGTGTTGCCCCCGCACCCACAACCCACATAATGAAACTCCACAGATTAGACAGATTCTTCTGCTCCACTCCGCTCGTGAGCTCCGTTCCGCTCTAGCATCTGTCCCATTTATGATATATGAGTCATAACTAACATAGAGGAACTATAATGGTGAATCTCACTATAAGAATATAAAATAAGATCATCCGACAGCATCATTCTCTATATATTTTCCACCATATTATTTTATCTTATCTTTAATCAATTATTAATAGCTTCGTGACACATCTACGGATTTATGGTTTTTTTTAAATTTAATTATATTAATTTTTTATTTTGGGATATTTACATAAATACCACACAATTCTTATATATTTACATATCTAACTCCTAAGCTTTTATAGTTACATGAAGACTAGGGGCATGAAGACGGGGGGCGTAAACGAGCCGAACACGAGCGAGCTCAGGCTTAGCTCATGTTAGCTCGCGAGCCCAGGTTCAGCTCGTATTCGGCTCGTTTATATTTCAAGCTCAAAAAGTGGGTTCGTGTTTGTCTCGTTTGCTTAGCGAGCCGAACACAAACAGTTCACGAACAAAGACTAATTTTGACAACCCTAATCACTTAGCCATAAGACGTTAAGAATTGAGGCAAGATTTAAAACATCATTTGAATCTAATTTAATAAATTTTATTTTATTTTCTTAATTAATGCTTTTAATTGATTATAAATCTTTGTAGCCATGTAATCAATTAAATTTTTTAAAAGTACTATTCATCAAAGATATATATATATATATACTTCGAGTCAAAACGAGCTGAACACGAGCAAACAAATATTTGTTCACGTTGTTCGTATTTGGCTTGTTAAATTAGCGAACGAGCCGAACACAAATTTCTTAAAAGACTAAAAACATGAGCTCTTCGCGAACAACGAGCTTTTTTAACAGCCCTATACATGACGACCACTCGAATCTTCATCATCACAAGAAAAATATCACTATTATTAATTTTTAAAGTTTAGGTGTTCGATATGTAAATAAGGAAGATTTGTGTGGTATATTTGTAAATTTATTTTTATTTTTAATTTTGCACTCTTCCACTATTGTCTGACAGCTGAGAACTTTGAGTTAGGTCTACCAATTCTTTATTGCCTTTTTGACTTTTAAGAAGACAACCTGCAACAAAACTATGGTCCTCCCTATTATAATAACATGCCATAAGCGATAAAAACAAGAAATATTTGAAATAATGTTTTTCCCTTTTGGGAAGTAATTTGTAAAAGTTGATCAAATTTTATTTTAAAATTGAGTTCTAATAGTTCTCTGTCGAGACTATTTCAACCTAAATTTAAGGTTCGTTTATGGCACGGTTCGATAACTCACTGTAGTTTTGTTTGTTTGGGTAAATTGTATTTTGATAACTTTTCAAATAGTTGTTGTTGAAACCTGTGTTTTTCCACCGGTCGTGACAAGATGCAGTGCTAACTTTGCAGCTGCGGTTTAGCTTTTTCACAACAAAAAAATTGTAATAGCTATTGCAGTTTTTTGAAGATCAGATTATTTTTCAACGGCTTCATATTTGTTTTTTAAAAAACTGCAGCTGCACTAAACAAACCCTTAAAGTGTCTGGAGACTATTTACTACTTCTATAAAATCAGGGACTAAAACTATCCCGTATAAATAATCCAAAACCATTTTAACAATTTATCATGAAATATGCATTTCACTTTTTAAGAGTTAAAAATGTGATATTTTTGATGAGATATGAAAGATTTAGATGATATAAATGTAACGAATTAGATATAAATAAGATTTATGTAAATACATAAAAATTGGGTGGCACCCAAGCAAATGCCGTTTTCATAAGAGAATTTTATTAAGTGTGGAGAATTGCATATTAATCCAACTTTACAATTTGAACAGATTCACAGCTTTGTTTGCTGTTCTTTTTGAAAGTTTGAAGGCATTGAGAACTCGGCCTATGTTTTATAGAGTTTTCTATATATGGCTTCAATGTAATTGCGTCACGTCAACATAACCACTACTACAGCAACAACAACAACAACAACAATAATAAAGCCTTAATCTTAATCCCACAATAAAGCCTTAATCCCACTACATGGGGTCGGCTACATGAATACTTTTTCTCCATTGCGTCCTATTTAATGTCATATTTTCATTCAGTTCTAGTAAATTAAGATTATTTTTTAAATAATAAGCCCAAGTCTTCCGAGGTCTACCTCTGTCTTTCTTAACACAAGTCGAATCTAAAACATCCACTCTCCTAATCGGATCATCAGATGGTTGATGTTTAATGTGGCCAAACCATCTAACACGACAAAACCACTAAATAAATAAAAAAAAAATTATATTGATCTGCCTACTCCGAACACGTGACGCAATTTCATTAGAGTCCTGATACATTTTTACATCAAGACTCCTGATATAATATTTTTTTCTTATGACGATCATAATTCTACTTAGGCAAGGAAAGAAAATTTTATGTATGATTTGTGGTATAAATATGAAAAATAAAGTTTAGGCTTTAGATATGTAAATAAATAGAAATTGGGTGATGTATATGTAAATGCCCCAATCATAATCCTAGAAAAGGAATGGAATTATGACACCAACATACCAAAAGATAAAAATTTAGCTGGATTTAAATATTTAAAAAAATAAAAAAAGTACCTTAAACAAAAAATAGTAAAATCAATAAAAGTGATAATTACATTACAATCCACCCAAAACATTGATATTTACAGTACCACCTATTCAACTTTAAACAATCAAATGATTCAAAATAAGTGTGTCACAACTGTCACATCTTACTTTTTAAGTTTTATATCTGTAAAACTAAAAAATATTTCATGCGGACACCGCATGTGTCCGATCTCCACCGTCGATCACCGCAAAGATGTATTTCAGTGGGCCCCACTTTCAACTTTTTTTTTAAAGATTTTGATTACGGTGATCGACGGTAGAGATCGGACACCGCATACATCTTTGCATGTTACAATGAAGAATTCTGTCTAAAAGACCAAGGGGGCATTTGCAAACACACCATACAATTCTTATATATTTATATATCAAACATCTAAACTTTCATATTTGCGCACTCAAATCATTACCATCACATAAAAAATGCCACTAATGTTTGCATTTTAAAACTGAAATAAATATTTTCATGCATAGAGTTATAACACTCAAGTGTTCTAAATATAAGTATGAAAATTTAGGCATTAGACATGTAAATACATAAGAATTTTATGGTATGAATGTAAATATCCATCATAAGGAGTTTCTAAGACCAGAAAAATAAATAAATAAATAAATAATTAATAATTAAATCAACAAAAATGGCACTGAAGCTTGAAGGTCTTTAGAGAATTAGACCGTTAGAAATCAGAAAGCTTGAAACCAACAAACAACAACCAAAACCCTAACAACAGAACTAACCAAATCAAAAGCACAGCATGGTGAAAAGAAATCCGGCAACAATAATCATAGCACAAATTCGACCGTTAAATTTTAAATCCAGAAACAAGAACCGGATTCCTCCTCACCAGAAAACACTGTTCTCTTCTTCTTTCTCTCTACCACTTCTCAGATCACTGAAACTCACAAAAAAAAAAAAAATTGATGATTTTATGTCCAAAACTTCAACTCAATTCTTCCTCTGATGTCCCCTGAGGATATCTGATCAGCTCCAGTATGTTAACCACCTCCGTCATATCCGGCCGACTCGATGGCACCTGCGAAGCACAAATCAGCCCTAGCTTGATCACCGGTACAGCCTCCTCCATTGGAAACTTACCACACAGCTTCACATCCATGCAATCCTCAACCCTATCAACATCAAGCAATCCCCTCACCATGTCGCAGAGAACAATTACATCATCCTCTCCATACTCCACCGGCTTCCTCCCCGTCACTATCTCGAGTACAACCACTCCGAATCCATATACGTCGCACTTCTCAGAAATCATCATTGTCCTACAAGCGAATTCCGGCGCCATGTAACCCAATGAGCTTTGAATCTTACTGCTGAGCACATACCGATCGAGCATCGGCAATAGATTCGCCAGCCCGTAGTCTCCAACCTTCGGCTCGCCGGATTCGTCAAGCAGCACATTTGATGATTTCACGTTGTAATGTATCACGCCATGCTGGTGAAGGTAAGCCAAACTCTTCGCCATCCCGAGAATCGCATCGAACCGTTCTTGCCATGAGAGAGTTCTACTAGTAGAGCTTTCATGGAGGAGGCTGTATAAACTACCACCAGATACATACTCATATATCATGAGTTGCAGGGAAGAAGTCCAGTAATACCCTTCAAGGGTGACAAGATTGGGATGCTGCAATTTCCCCAGCTTCTTCACCTCCAGCTCGAAGTCTTGTCGGGATTTCACCACGCTTGAAACTGTGAGCTTTTTGATCGCCACAGGGCGGCCATCTTGGAGCACCGTCTTGTACACGGTGCCGAAGCCGCCTCGACCGAGCTCGCAATCCTTGTTCAGTAAAGCATGAGCGCCGGCGCAGAACTCAGGGTCATCTCTAGAGAACATGACTAGTTTTCCCGAGCTGGAATCCGTGGTGGGTGATTGCCGGAAGTAGTCATCACTGACGGCCAAAGCAGCGGTGGCGGAATGTGAAGCCGAGGTTTTCACTCCGAGGTTTACAATAGAGATGGTGATGACACCAAGGATGATGATGGCGGCGGCGGCAATGGCGACTAGAGCGGATATGCTGAAGATGATCTTCTTGTGATGGTAATTGTCAGCAGGGAGAGCGTTGCTCGAAGAGGGAGAGGAAGGAGATGAGGAATTGGGGTTAAGGACGATGGGCTTGGGGAGAAAGGCGGGGCACGAGCGATTGACGACAGCCCCGCAAAGGCCGGGATTGTAGAAGATGGAGGAGAAGGAAATGGTGTTGAAGAAGTTCCCGGCCGGAAGATCGCCAGAGAAGTTGTTATGGGAGATGTTGAAGGAGAGGAGGTGAGGAAGGTCCCCAAGTTGCTTTGGGAGGCTTCCTGTGAACTTGTTTAGAGAAAGGTCAACTTTTTGGAGATCGGTGAGATTGGCTAAGCTTGGAGGAATGGAGCCAATGAGATTATTCCGAGAAAGGTCCCTATAAGTAAAATCCAAACAAGTGAAGACAATAAGATTGTGACTATCATCATGCAATACTTTAATGCAAAAAAATACAAATTACATGAAAATGACAGGAGTTGTTTAGTAGTGTTAAGTACCAAGGACAAAGGGAGTAGAAACTTGGATGAGTTCAAACAAAAAAAAATAAAGTTAATAAACAAATATAAGCATAAGCTCAAATTCAACGAAAAAAAAAGCAATTTTTATTTTTTTTAGGAATGAAGTAAGAAAACTTACAGCAAAGTGAGGGAGACACAGTTACTAATCTTGCCAGGAATTACTCCACTAATGGAGTTTTTTGACAGAATTAGCTCTTTCAAGCCAACTGCTCCTTCAATCTCAGGTGGAATGCTGCCTCTGAGCTGATTCCCACTCAAATCAATAACTTCAATGTTCTTCAATTCACCAAGAGCTGGTGGGATAGAGCCTGATATTCTGTTTGAGGATAGATTCAAGAGCTGCAAGCTCTGGATGGATGACATTTCTTCTGGAATATTTCCAGAGAAGGTATTCATGGAGAGATCTAACACGCTCAATGTTGAAGAACTCGTCCCAGGAATCTGTATAAATCCACTGAATCTGTTCTCAGCAGCCATGAGCTTTCTTAGCCTCAGTTGGAAGACCCATTGTTGCAGATTTCCAGTAAGAAAATTGTGACTCAAATCCATCTCCTGAAGCTTTGTGCAGTTAGCCATGGATTCCGGCAGACCCCCCGTGAGGTTATTTTTCGAAAGGTTGAGTTCTTCCAGAGCTTGAAGATGACCAATAGAACCTGGAATCTGTCCCATAAAGTGATTTTGTGACAAATCCAAAGATTGAAGACTGCTCATTTCTCCAATCCAATCTGGAAGCTCGCCGGAGAAGGAATTGGAGCTTAATCCTACATGAACGCACATAGAAAGCTTCTGCAAGGAGTTCGGAAGGGAACCAATAAGCATGTTCCCACTAAGATCAACGGAGTTCAGGAGCACAGAATCCCCAATATCCTCAGGCAAGCTCCCTGAGAGCTTATTCCCTCTTAAGCTCACCGACCTAAGATTAACCAGCCGGCCAATCCCTACCGGAATCTCACCGGCGACGCCATTACCGGACAGATCAAAAGACCGGAGATCTTTCAAAGACCAAATTTCAGCCGGAAAAAAACCAGAGAAAAAATTCGAGGAAAGGTTCAGTGCTTCAAGAGTGGAGCAAGAGCCAACATTAGAAGGAATCTCCCCTGAAAACCAATTGTTGGCTAGAGAGAGAAACCTAACAGACCTGCATTGTGAGAAAAATCCATCAGGAATTGACCCGGTGAAGCTGTTATGGCTGAGATCGACGCTCTGAAGCCTCTCCAGGCGGAGAAGTTCCGCCATTAGGGACCCGGATAAGTTGTTTCTTGAAAGAGAAAGGGTCTGGAGGTTTTGAAGTTGCAGAAGGCCGCGACCGAGCTTGCCGGAGAGGGAGAGTCCATTGAGGGTGAGCTCCAAAACTCGGTTGGAGATGGGATCGCATTTGACTCCTAACCAGTTGCAGGGGGTCTCGTCATCTTCGTTCCAAGATGAGAGCTTGGAATCTGAGTCTTTGAGGTCCGCCTTGAAGACGATTAGACCTAGGACGTCGTCGTTTAGGGTTGGGGTTGCGGAGAGAACCAGCAGAGGAAGGAGGAAGAAGAAGGAGAAGGGAAGATGAGACGGGGGACTCATGTTCCGCACAAATGGAGAAAGATCTAAGCTTGGAGAAAGGAAAGGACGGAACTTTCGAGCTAGAAGACGAACTGGAGAGAAGTATGAGCTGTGAAGCTGGAGTTCGCCGGAGTTAAGGCGGCAGCGGCGGCGGAGAGATTGCGACTGGCGGCTCGGAAAATGGTTAGCACTTCTGCCACCACGAGAAGCTAAGAAAGCTGTAGAAGAAGGAAAAGACCAATTTAGGGAGAGAGACAGAGAGAGATGGGGACTGTGCTTGCAGTGGAGAGTCTCCTTTTGCTCGGAGTTCATTAATGGCTTCCATGTATGTATTAAAAATTTATTAAGAACATACTAATATTAAGAAAAATTACATACATATCATACAATTCTTATGAATTGACATATCTACCAGTTACAATTTAATATTTACATTCATAACACTTAGTGACACTTTGGTGCGGTAAGCTTATGCATAAGAAAATATATTTGGCTTTCAAAATGTAAATAAAGATAATATGAGTGCTAGGAATGTAAATATTAAAGTTTATTTATTAGTTTTGCGAATATATAAAAATTTGGTATGTATGTACCTAGGAGTGTAAACGAACCCAACACGAACGAACAAAGTTTTTGTTCTTGTTCAGTTCGTTTGAAATTTAGTTTTGAAATAAGAAATAAGCTCGTGTTCGAAATTGTTCGTGTTCGTTTCTTAACGAACGAGCTGAACACGAGCTGTTCGCGAACGACGAGTCAGTTTGGCATCCCAAATATTAATATATATAAATAAATTATTATATTAATTATATAACTTATATTATATAAATATATAATATCTATATTAGTATATATTAATACATTATTATTATTAATTTATTATATATTATAATTTATAAAATTTATTTTTTTTAAAATATCATTTATTTTTTCATATAAAATTATTTTATATTATTTTATATTTCGAGTAATAAAGATTTGAACACGAACGAACGCATCACTGTTCGTGTTTGGTTCATTTATTCATTTAACTAACTAAAAATTTTGTTCACGTTCGTCTCATTTACTTATCAAACGAATCGAACACGAACTCATTGACAAACCGAACACGAACTGTTCGCGAACAACGAGCTTTTTCGACAGCCCTGTATGTTACCCCCTTAATATTAATCTGCTTTATTATTATGGAGCACTGCCTACCTTGGAAGATTTACAAGCAGATCACTCAATTCTTTTGTATTAACAAATCTTACACATAAATTTAAATTATATACACATGAAAAGATGTAATTTGCTTTGGGATAATTGCATACATAACAACAAAATATTGCTATTCTAGCACTTAATTGATATTTTTGAATTAACAAATCGATATATTTATGCGTGTCACGATCAAATCATTTGAGAATTTAATTAAATTAACATATATGAGTTGGGGGTTTTTGTTGGGAATGAAATAACCCCCTTACTTTACTGGGGCTTAGGTTCAATTAGAAATTACACTACACCACGGAATAGGATCGTAAAGATTCGAGAAAAAATAGAACAAAATTATGAACATAAGCACAACAAAGACAATGCGGAAAAAAAAAAAAAAACATAAGATTTAAAGTGGAAAAACCTAAGAATGGAAGTAAACCACAGAGCCACACTACCAAGAAATTTCAGTAATGAATTCAAAAAGTTTTGTAGGGTACAACCTTAAATATTCTATCTACAATCAAAGAAACTTACAGGACCAGGACCTCGCTCGAGCTCTTCCCTCTCGATACAGCAAGAGAAACAAACGTGAAATTCTCCTCTCCGAAGCTTCTCACATTCACATGGAAAATGTCGAAGAAAACACGTGATTTGGAACTTCCTTGCTCGAACCACATGATGGAGACCAGGAGTTGTAGGCTCGTGTTCTGTGCCTTAATTCTGATTTCTCTTGGATGTATAATATTTAAGATTAAGTATGTATATATGGTGTATGACCGATTTTTTGCTTTTCTGGGATATGTTGCCGACTAAGCAGCATCTGACCTTTCTATTTTTTAGTATGTATTATTTTAATTCCCTACTTTGTGCTTGTTATTGCCTCTTTCTTTGCTTCTGGATTGTTTGAGAATCTTGCGAATGCAATTTAGGCTCTCTAAGGACCTAAAGTTATAATTTTTTTCTACAAAATCCTAATAAAGTATTAAGACTAATTAGAAATTTAGGATAGAGACATTACAAGATTTTCAAAAGCTGCTTTTATTTTCATGTATGGTTTTTCAACCGGATTTAAAATGGTTTGCATGACATGGACATCGCCCAAGTCATACTAATAGGGCCTCCACATTGAGGCTTGTGTAGATAACTACATTTTGCATTGCTCGAGGAAAATTCTCCGTGCTTCATCAACCCAACTAGCCCAACATAAGATTTCTAGTTATGTGATTATCTAACGCACTTAGGGTGTTAAAGACTTCCCCAACTCAGACAAGGAATAAGTCCTTTATGAGAGCATCTCAGCTTTGTGGCCATATCTCTTTTTCATGAGGGGCAATTACTAGATGTCATTCAAAGAAGTTGAAAGAAGCTAGTAATGGATTAGTCCAAGAGGCTTGGACTCAAGCCAATTCATGGGAGTCTAAGGAGAAAGAGCCACGAAGATTTGTCAATTTAATCTAAGTCCAAGAATAAAAGAGTCATATTATTATGGCTGAATATTTTGTGTTTTGTTACATTTTAATAATGACTTGCATGTCAGCTTGATGTAGTTTTTTTTTTTTTCATTTGTTTAGAGGATGCTTTATCTTCTCTTTTTTTCATGTAAGTTTTAACCTATTTATAAGCCATACTTCAAATTAGAAAGAAGACTTTTGATTTTGGCAAAACTTGTATTTGCATTGTTTCCCACAATTTCCTTAGAATTCCCACCAGAACTCTTGACCATCGCCAAAGGAGTTCGTCCCCGACTTACCAAGCAGATTTCCACCCCGTTTGTGGCATCTACCATTGTACCAAGGTTTTTTTCCTCACGTCAACCTTAGGGTGAAAGTCTTATACCAACGTTCTTGTTTGTGTTGAGCATTTGATCAAGGTTTATCTCCATCAATCCATTTTATCACCAGGTTTTATCCCTCCTTTAGGTCGGTTTGTTTGGGACAATTTTTTTGTCTTATTCATGCATCGCATACGAATTGTCATTCATTCCTTTCAGTTTTGGTTTAGCACATCAAGTTTCCTAATTAGAGCATCAATCCCCACGTTCCTGCCTTGCTTATATGCACATCAACCTTAAGTCTACCAAGGTTCCCTTAGGAAGCACAAATCACAGATTGCTGATAAGGAGCCTTAGATAGGGCTGAGTCGACTACCTTCATGACCAGGTAGACTTAGGATCATAATAACTTGGTATAACAGATCCGTGGGTTCTTGACCTGGCTGTCTCTACCTGATTAGGATTACTCTCCCTTTCTTTGCTTAACCGCTTTGAGCCCTTTCACTTCTTTTGACATTTTATCAATGTCGTCTCGTAGACCCTGATTGCGAACAGACTGTCGATTATTTTGGATAAGGTGATTCACCCTCTATTCTTATGAGTCGGTTTTGCCTTAAAACGTAGTGCGGGCCCTACGGGATGACTCAGTTATTTCATAAGTCACATTCTCTGACGAACTGTTACACATTCTGCACTGTGTGGGACTCACTTTTTGCCCTCTAGCTTAGCTAGAGCTTTGAAGGCATCGAGATGCTCTTATGAGATAATCATTCTTTGTGACACCCTCTCAATAGTCAACACTTAAATGTAATTAAAACTTCTTTAATCATGAATATTTCTAGGTTTCCCCTAAGATGTAATTAACCAAAATGGTTTATGTTTTTTTGGAAGTATTATTGAAAATAAAACAAATACAAATTTAGTTCTCTGGTTATTTAGGTAGCTTAGGTAGGTATTCTTTCATGGATATTCAGTTCAAGGTGTCTCAATCTGATTCTGTTTGGACATATACCATCGATTTATTGCATGAGGATTACCGCACATAAGCTCTCTAGTTTTTTTCTTCAAATTTGTTTGCCTAGTCTCCATCTTATTTCCTTTTTTCTGATCTCTCCTCTTCTCAGAGTTGTTCTAAAGGTTCAAGTAAGGCGACTCCAAGTTTACAAAAAGAGCCAAAATAATTGCAGACCTTGTTATCTCCCATATAAATCTTCCCTAGATCACTTTGTATGTAATTTTTTAAGGCTACTTTATTTGGGCATGCATGAAAAGAGGCACCTGATCTACTATCCAAGATTCAGTGATGAATAGGGATAACACCAGAGAGTTATTTTAGATTTCACCAGGTTAGATATTTGTAGAAAGTTTTTTTTTATGTTATTTAGTACCAGTTTTCCTTGGAGTTTTGTAGTCCTTCTTAAAATGCATTTTCTTTCTACAGTTTCAACATTCTCCTCTACCATTTCCTTTACTTGACCTGGACTTTCCCCTCCTGAATTTGGATTTGCCTTTGCCTGTATTCATATAAAAAAATCATTCCTCTATTACCAACATTCAAAACAAAACCTGAAGATTCACCATTCGTTACTTTTATGCAAACTTCTTCATTTAACATCAAACTCACCATGTCATCGAAGTTCAATTTCATATTCCCTTAAAAAATACTTGCCGCGATGACCAAAACATCCAGTTATGCAACAACTAATACAATATTACAAGTGCCCTAACCTCATTATCAAACTTGATCCCCAGAGAACACAACTAACTTGTTATAGTATTGAAATTATTCAGATTTTCAAACATTGAACTGTCTTCCATCATCTTCATATTAAATAACATCTTCATTAGAAAAACCATATTTGAAGTAAAAAGATTTTCGTAAAATTTGGTCAGTGCCGTCATAAGATCCGCCGTAAATTTTCTCATTTATAATGTTGAACGCGACATATGAGGAAAGTGTCAACTGGATCAAAACTAGTGTTGTTCGATCCAACACTTCCCGTTCCTTCGTAGTGATAGACTCAATTTTTTTGGCGATTCCCTATAGTGGCAATACAACTTTTTTTAGTACAATAAATCCCCTACTTGCATCATCCAGAGTGTGTTCGTCCTATTGAACTTCTCCACTTTGAATCTTGCTTTGTAGATCATTGCTCCCACTCAAATCAACCACCACTCTAATACTAGTTTGTAGGGAAGGAAATAATCCTCTAACTTTAATAGGGCATATGTTCAATTAGGAACTAAACTATACCATGAAATAGAATCAGACAAATTCGAGAAAACTAAAACAAAATTATGAACAGAAGCACAACAAAGACAATCCATAAACACAACAGAACCATGTCATTAAGAAATTTCCACTATGAATTCAAAAGTTTTATAAAGAACACTCAAAATTCCTTTCTACAATCAATGAAACTTACATGACCTCGTTCTAATTCTTCCCTCTCGATCTGACAAGAGAAACACATGAAATTCTTCTCTACGACGCTTCTCACATTCACCAGAAAAATATCGAAGAAAACACGTGCTCTAAAACTTTCTTGCTCGAGCACATAACCTTCCCCACTTGAAAAATCCTCTTAAATCAAATCGTTGTGGACCAACCGCATCAGGCACAAAAACGCTCAAAACATTTTTATCATGAATTTTGATATTTAAGCGAGAATTTCAGAAATACGTGAAAGAGCGCTAGTTTTGTAAATAACAAAGTTTCATGTGCTTTGCATGAAATTGCCCCATTTATTTTTGAAAAAAAAAGCAAATTATTATTTTGATGTAATAAAAGAATTTTAGTGATATAAATGTTAAAAAAATTAAAATATAGATAATAGATATGTAAATACAAAAGAATTGGGTGGTATTATGTAAATGCCCCCAATTGGTTTAATCAACTCACTTCTATAGGTAATTGGCAGCTTTAATATATATATATATATATATATATATACAAATCTAACATCTAAAATTTAGATGTAAGATATGTAAATAGATAAAAGAATTGTGCAGTATGCATATAAATCCCCAAAAAAATTTAATTTAGCTAATCAATTAAAATTATTATTATTAATATTATTATTGCATAGGCCCGACTCTAAATCCACGTGATTGGAACTCGTGTTAACTCCATTTTTTGAAAAATTATTCCATATGGACGACGTATGTAGAAATGCATGGACTGTCGGATCTCCACTATTGATCAAAGCTTGGATCAATTTTTTATTTTTTTATTTTTAAAAAAATTGAGCCCATGGAAATACAACTTTGTTCTGATCAACGATGGAAATCGGACAACACATGCATTTCTACGTACGCCGTCCCATTTTTTATGTGATTATGGCACACATAATCAATTTAGGGATAATTACATACAGAACATCACAAACATTGATATTTACAAATCTAACACATCTGATTTTTTGAACCGCCGAACCGATACATTTATACATGCAACGATCAAATTATTTAGAATTTGATAAGAATAAATGAAAGGCGGGCTTGATTTATAAATAGTAATGTTTCGAGTGTTTTGTATGTAATTGTCGCATTTTTTTTAATAGGAGTTATGTTATTTAAGTTAAATTTGACATAATTGAATATATCATAAATACGCATAAATTATGTCCTCATATTTTACTATAAAACTAACTTTTATTTTCTTAGCTGTGTCCTCAATGATTTTCTGCTGCTTTATTGGTTCAAAGCAAGGAAGAAATAATTATAATCATCTGACATGAATCTCAATGAATAATATAAATCTCGTGATAATTTTTTGAGAAAGACATATTCGAACATCGATAAAAACTCATCTAAAACTCTGATTTCAGCAAACTTATAATCAAACTGACCAGCTCAACAAGAACCCATGTTACCAAAATTAGTCTAATCAGATTTAAATCAAGCTCAGATCAAATCATTAAACTATTCTTGAAAATTTTATAGACATATTCTGAAGTTAAACGAATGCCAAATTTAACAAGTCTATGGTTGAATCGAGCGTCTCGATAAGACCAATCCAACGAGCCCAAAATTTCAAGATAAAGCTAATAAAAGGTATTTGGAGGGTTTGGATCATCTGTTGAATGATCAAATAAAATTCAAAATTGACATATTTACATTCAAATCGAGTGTATTGACAAGAGGAATCCAACAAGTCTGAGCTCACTTAAATTCTGAGTCATTAAGTCCCCTAAATCCTTCAAAAAATAATAATAATAAAAATCTATGATCAAGGGAATCAATATCGGCCATTCGATTAGGTGGTTCCCTCTTTTCACTTGAGGGGAGAGGCGAAGAAAATGAATTTTAGCTTCTGGACTGAAGACCCGACGATAACTTTCTGCATTCATAACCGTAAGATATGTAAGAACATAAGAATTTTGTGCTACTAATGATAATAGCCAAGATAAAAATTGACCAAAGGCATTTTAAATACCTTTTTTTTTTTTTTTCAATTTTCATAATTATTTTAATTTAAAATTTAAGTAAATTATAACTTTAGTAAGCAATTCCAAGTGAATTATGTATGCAATTATAAAATATAAGTTACTTATCGAGCTGTATCAAGCCGAGTATGTGTAAATTGGATGATTCATGTTTGACTTAACTCGAGCCGAGCTTTAAAAATTTTGAACAAATGAAATGAACAATTGGATAAAATTCTAATTTGTATCTAATTATTGTACACCAATTAAATAATATGATGACATACACATTGCAAGAAAACTTTTGCGCTAATGAAGTAATTTCCTAAAATATTATTGACATTATTACACATTAATATTAATTATATAACTAAAAAAATTATAATTAACCAAATTTTATTTAAATAGTATAATATATATATATAATATCACTAATTATTGAGCCTAATATCAAACATTTAACAAATCACTTGTTAAACAATAAATCTATTTATTCATAAACATAAATAAATAAGTTGAAACATTTTGACTTTTGGTTCGCATAACTTTTAAGATTTTATAGAATTTTAATTATATTTATTTATTAATTTAAACAAATTTGATCGAGTATCAATTGAACTGGGTTCAAATTATTCATTAAATGTGTTAGTTCATTTACAAGCCTCAATTACATAGAATTAATATATAATGTTATTAAGCAGTTAAATTTGCATGGGCCAAACATCCTCCTCTTCCCAACAGAGTAGTTGCAACCATCTGCCAGACTGGCTTGCCCGATTTAGGCTCTGTTTGGCGCGGCTGTTTTGTCGCGGCGCGGCACTGAGCCGCGACTTTGTTATTTGGCGCGACAGCATGCCTTTGGCGGGACGCGATTCAAGCCGAATATGGGACTCGAGCAGTACCCCGCGGCCTGGCTTTCTCACGCGACTTTTTACCTCAACTACCCCTAGGCGGCACCGAAATGGCAGGCACGGGTGACAAAGGTGAGAAGGATCCGACAGGCGACAGGAGACGGGGGGAGATCAGGACGACAGCGGGAGAGCCAATAGAAGAAAAGACCTTGCAGCAACTGGCTTCTTCGTCTTCCCGCTCCTCACTGTCACTTCACTTCGCAAGCAAGATTTCTTCAAGCTCATCCGACTCCCTCTCTCTCTCTCTCTCTGAGGTTCCGTCATTCCCCCCATATCACAATCATTCATCTCTAATGGGCAAATGCGGGGAGTTCACGAGCACCTTCGTGTTGATCGCCAATTATTTTACAGAAGTTCCATCCTTTTCTCCAACTGCTGCAAGGTCTTTTCCTTACCCTTGCTTGCACCTTACGTCTTACTCACCTGCTCAATTCCTTCTCCTGCATTTCTATTTTCTTATTCCAAAATTAAGAAAGACTAATCTTCTTTGAGATTTAGAAAGAGACATTATATTTTAATTGCTTTTGGTCTTGGTCATGTTCACATATTTACTTGTTTATATGGATTGACCTCACTTTCGGGGGCACTATTAGATCATTGGTGTATCTTAACTTTCTGCTCTGTTTAGAAATGAATTTATGCTTCTGAAGTTAAAAAAAAATGTGATTGTTACATTCTTCTTTTAAACAGTTTTACCAAACATGGGCAACATAGTCATTTTTTTCAGAAACAGCTGCCTCACAGCTATTTTCACACAACTGCACCAAACAGGCAGTCAACTTCCCCGTAGCAGCTTCTTGGGCAGCGCAGCTGCAGCTGAAAAGCTGAGAAACTGCGCCAAACAGACCCTTACTTGCAGGATTAACTCACTCTTCCAACCTCTTTGCCAAACATCGAAATATTCACGTCTTTGTAGGCCAAATTTATTCTTATGATCAGTCCGCCGAGTTCACCCAATTGTTGACACTAACATACATCCAACGGCTACTTATGAAATACCAGACATCCACACGTCACGCTCTTGTTAGGATGTTATCAACATACTTCATACTTTAAGACCCATAATTTAATTTCCTTCTCTCTTTCTATCTCGATGTAAGCCGATATGGGCAAAGGGCCATCGATGAGTCATAGAAACAAATGTCATCGCATCTGAAGGGGGATGAAACCCCATCCATTCTCTTATTAGTCATTTCTCTCATCCTCTTCTTTCAGGAGAAGCTAAGAATTCAAACTTGAAAAACTCGTCCACTCTCTTCTTCCACATCCTCCTTAAACTTCTCTTCGAGACTATACGAGCCCATGAACCACACGGGCGCCTACGTTCTAAAAGAATGTGTGTGTTTGTGTGTTTGTGTGTGTGTGTGTGAGAGATAGAGAGAGATTATCACTTTACAAATACAATCTTCAAATGCATTTTCACGATGTAAGAATAATATAAGGAAAAAAAAAAATGATGGAAAAAAGTGATGCAAGCAGCAGCACGAACAATAGCAGTAGATAATTTTTATTCTGATAAAGAAAAAAAAAAAAATAGCACCATAAAAAAAAGAGAGAAAAAAGGGAACTCTGTACCAACCCTAATTTTTGGAAGTTACAGACCAGCTCTTTACAAAAAAGCCCCCTCCCAAAATCAAAATCTATACAAATTTGATGCGATCAAGCAGCACCCACAACACTTCTCAGGGCAGATGTCCAGACAAAAGAAGTCCTGTGACGTTTTGGTTGACATAGTGAAGGTAAATATCAACCTGTATGAATGAATTATGAAATATCAGACTGCAAAAAATAATTTTTATGAACAAATTATTGTCACAAATGAAGGGGAAAATGGTAAATTAATGTTTTTTTTTAACTTGTTTGGAGCGAATCACTATGCACCATGGTGATTTATTCTGCGTTAGGTTTGTCAGGTTGCCAAAACATCCAATCAAATGCACAAAAGAGTGATGCAGACTGCTTGATATTTGATGAAATATTGAGTGATTTTCAGCTTTAAAAAAACATCTAAAAAAATATCATTGAAGGCACAAAAAATAAACAAGAAATATATCAACTTCAGAAGATATATCATTGCGCACCATCTTGAATAGCCTAATTACACATAACTTTGGCTAAGGATTCACGACAGAGAGTAAAATTAAGTGACTCTCTCCCAGTTTTTCAGGAAATTTCTAAGGCTTGTTTGGGATTAATTTTGCTTAAAATTTTTTATTTTCATTTTTTCTACTGCTTTTAAAAAGATGTTTGCTTTGTCTAATTTTATTTCTAGAAACAAGTTAACATATTTTTAAAAATGCTCGAAACAATTTTTGGCTATAACGAGTGTTTTAAAAGATAATCATATCTTAGTCAAATATACAACAACAGGAAGCTTTTATCCATTAAGTGAGGTTGGCTACATGAATCTTTTTTCTCCATTGCGTCCTATTGAGTGTCATATTGTCATTTAATTCTAATAATTAAGATTATTTTTATAAAATATGTCCGAGTCTTTCTAGATCTACTTCTACCTTTCTTAACATAAATCAAATCTAAAACATATCTTTTTCTAACCGGATCATGAGCTGGCGACGCTTGTTGTAATCAAACCATATAAGATGATTCTAATTTTGTCCGCCATTGGAGCTACACCAACCGTATCACGGATATATTCACACGGATATATTCATCCACGGATATATTCATCTCACATTTTGTCTCTAAGTATAAAACCACTCATCCACCAAAACATTCTCACCTCAACAACACTTAGTTTTATGCTTCTCTTTTAAAGGCCAACATTTAACTCTATAGAGCATTATAGGTCCCATCACCATCTCATAAAAATTTCACAAGGAGGAATTTACTGTCGCATAGGAGGATTGAACCGAAAACTTCAGCAACAATTTCTACGGAAATTTACCAAAATAGCAAACATTTTCTTTGTATTTACATATCTAACACTTAAAGTTTGATATTTACATTTATAACATTTTGGTATCATGAACCTATGCATGAAAAGGTGCACATCACTTTTAAAATTTACTTGTAGTGCCATGCTTGATGTGATATTAAAGATTGAGTGTTACGTATGTAAATATGAAAGTTTGGGTTTTAGATATATAAGTACATAAGAATTGTAAATGTCCCTAACATCTAAAGCCCTTACAATCAAGAACTGGACGGTACCCACAAAAAATATACATGAAATAACCTTAAAAATGGTGAGGAACCTGTTCAACACAGGCAAATAAGCTAAATAAGCATCAATTATATAATTCGCGCAACAGAAACTAAAAGAAAATCACAAATCTTGAAAGAAATAACTGACCAACTTTAAGCACATTTGTACTCATTCACCAAACAACTCCAAAATCAAAACAAACTAATTTGTATTGCCAACAGGTCAAGTCAGGTTAGTTCAATTTAGCAAAAGCCTAATAAGACACATGTTAAAAAGTTTAGTTTAACTCAACTCAATCAAAACCTAAAAACCAACCCACTAACATCGTTGCAAGCCAACCTGACCAAGATGTTGAAAGCTTCGTCTTTCAACCAATAGGTCCTGAATTCAAGGTCTTGCATATGCAGTCTAGGTGCGTTGACGTTTGTGTTTGTGCTTGCGCTTGTCTTTGCGTCTGTGGGGAAAAAAATCCCTAATATTCTCATTATAAGGCCCAAGAACTAGGCCCGTTGCCAGGTCGGTTGGGCCCAAGTACCAAGACCATAATCAATCAGGCGGCCTTGAATTCTAAATCCTCAGGAGGAACAGTTAAGTCAGCTATAGCTCATGTAGATAGAAGCAGGCGAGAGTATTCAGGCAATTTGTATGGATCAGTTTTTAAATTTGTCAAATTGATTGCAATTGATCGCCTTTCTTAGATCAGTGATGAAAACTTATAGGCGACATTCTCAACACAGTTGACAGACGGCGTGCACGTTTTTCTTAGCATAGTTAGAAAAAATACAATATGTTGCAAGATTTTTTTCTCATGTGCATAAATTTGTCAGTATTGTGGATGTTGAAGACCTCCCAATAAAAGTGTCACACGACAACGACCATTAAAACCTTTTTTATATTGATTAAATAGACCCAACACTCTCTGTCTCGCACTTGGTCTACTCAGATAGACTGATATCATCATAGTCTAAGAAATGAATATTCACAAATTTCATCAAATCATGGTCTCATTGATCACCTTTCATAGATCAGTGATGAAAACTTATAGGCGACATTCTCAACACATTTGACAGACGGCGTGCACGCTTTTCTTAGCATAGTTAGAAAAAATACAATATGTTGCAAGATTTTTTTCTCATGTGCATAAATTTGTCAGTATTGTGGATGTTGAAGACCTCCCAATAAAAGTGTCACACGACAACGACCATTAAAACCTTTTTTATATTGATTAAATAGGCCCAACACTCTCTGTCACGCACTTGGTCTACTCAAATAGACTGATATCATCATAGTCTAAGAAATGAATATTCACAAATTTCATCAAATCATGGTCTCATTGATCGCCTTTCTTAGATCAGTGATGAAAACTTATAGGCGACATTCTCAACACATTTGACAGACGGCGTGCACGCTTTTCTTAGCATAGTTAGAAAAAATACAATATGTTGCAAGATTTTTTTCTCATGTGCATAAATTTGTCAGTATTGTGGATGTTGAAGACCTCCCAATAAAAGTGTCACACGACAACGACCATTAAAACCTTTTTTATATTGATTAAATAGGCCCAACACTCTCTGTCTCGCACTTGGTCTACTCAGATAGACTGATATCATCATAGTCTAAGAAATGAATATTCACAAATTTCATCAAATCATGGTCTCATTGATCGCCTTTCTTAGATCAGTGATGAAAACTTATAGGCGACATTCTCAACACATTTGACAGACGGCGTGCACGCTTTTCTTAGCATAGTTAGAAAAAATACAATATGTTGCAAGATTTTTTTCTCATGTGCATAAATTTGTCAGTATTGTGGATGTTGAAGACCTCCCAATAAAAGTGTCACACGACAACGACCATTAAAACCTTTTTTATATTGATTAAATAGACCCAACACTCTCTGTCTCGCACTTGGTCTACTCAGATAGACTGATATCATCATAGTCTAAGAAATGAATATTCACAAATTTCATCAAATCATGGTCTCATTGATCGCCTTTCTTAGATCAGTGATGAAAACTTATAGGCGACATTCTCAACACATTTGACAGACGGCGAGCACGCTTTTCTTAGCATAGTTAGAAAAAATACAATATGTTGCAAGATTTTTTTCTCATGTGCATAAATTTGTCAGTATTGTGGATGTTGAAGACCTCCCAATAAAAGTGTCACACGACAACGACCATTAAAACCTTTTTTATATTGATTAAATAGGCCCAACACTCTCTGTCTCGCACTTGGTCTACTCAGATAGACTGATATCATCATAGTCTAAGAAATGAATATTCACAAATTTCATCAAATCATGGTCTCATTGATCGCCTTTCTTAGATCAGTGATGAAAACTTATAGGCGACATTCTCAACACATTTGACAGACGGCGTGCACGCTTTTCTTAGCATAGTTAGAAAAAATACAATATGTTGCAAGATTTTTTTCTCATGTGCATAAATTTGTCAGTATTGTGGATGTTGAAGACCTCCCAATAAAAGTGTCACACGACAACGACCATTAAAACCTTTTTTATATTGATTAAATAGGCCCAACACTCTCTGTCTCGCACTTGGTCTACTCAGATAGACTGATATCATCATAGTCTAAGAAATGAATATTCACAAATTTCATCAAATCATGGTCTCATTGATCGCCTTTCTTAGATCAGTGATGAAAACTTATAGGCGACATTCTCAACACATTTGACAGACGGCGTGCACGCTTTTCTTAGCATAGTTAGAAAAAATACAATATGTTGCAAGATTTTTTTCTCATGTGCATAAATTTGTCAGTATTGTGGATGTTGAAGACCTCCCAATAAAAGTGTCACACGACAACGACCATTAAAACCTTTTTTATATTGATTAAATAGGCCCAACACTCTCTGTCTCGCACTTGGTCTACTCAAATAGACTGATATCATCATAGTCTAAGAAATGAATATTCACAAATTTCATCAAATCATTATCTTAAGTTTGCATGAATATCTAAGGTCTTCTATAAAAAAAAATTCATTTTAAAAATCATAGCCTAAATTCAGTTCTCTACATATGAGATAAAATCAAGAAGATTTATAACATTATGAATTCTCAGGAAGAACATAAATCATATGCAAAATACAGACTCGATGTTCTATGTACAAAGATGGAATGAAAAATATCTTTGATGGACTAATTTCCAAATAACTTCAAACTGTATGCAAATAACGAATCCATCCCCTACAGACAAGCGAATACAAAGGTTTAACTAAATTAATAGAAATGAAATCATTCAAATAATTCGACGATTGCCTCATTGACAGAAAATGAGGGGATTCTATTTTCAAAGCACTCCCAAATCACAATGCGAATCACCTCATGCCCAATTCAACTACTAAAGATACAAAAATAACAAGTTCAAGTTAAAAATTACAAAAATTACAAAAAGTCAAAAATATTAAAGAGAAATCTAAAATTAAAGCTAGGCCAAAAAATCAATCCACCCAACGCAATAATTTATAGAGGTGACAAATTTAAGATTAAACTAGCTCAAAAAGGGTCATTGTTATATCAAGCATAGTTATATTATCATTTTAAAAGATCTTTTGTTAAAAAAAAGAGATACATGTCTCTAATCATGGTTTTGTAGCTCATGACACCACAAAAAAGAAACGGGCATAACAAGGGTCCTTTGAAAGAATAACTGATTGAAAATGACAACATTAAATTATAATCATAATCAAAGCTCATAAATTTCCTAATAGCCTAAATCCCGAGTACCAAATCATGTAGTGAACTTGATTTAGGATAATGACCTTTATTAGCTAAGGTTAACTTAAAATTATTCCCTTCAAACAAACATCCACTAAAAATTCACAATGTCCATTTAGACGATACAATCCATGGCTATTGATAAGGACACTTTGATCAAATTTCATCAACTACAATCTCTAACTACCTCGACCAAAATCGACAACTTGAGATATAGAACAATGAGAAACAATCAATTTTAGCATTACTTCTCACACCATTCGTTCTAAAGCTAAAAGTGATCAGTTTTTTCAATCCAAAACCAAATTATTGCTACAATAATTAAACATTTAATGCCTAATGACCGGCCTTATTTGAAAATTCTCTCATCATTAAGGAGTAACAATAGGGTTTTACTAATATGAGAAAACTAAAACAAGATTATAGATTTCTCACAACATGAAAAAAAATCACTAAATAAAATTTATCTTAAAACAAAAACTCTCTCAGAAGAGTTGGGGGCAAATTTTTTGATCCCACGACATTCAGTTACACTAGCCCGTTAACATCATCAAAACTATAAAGTCAGCATTTCTTCTCCCATTGATACTTACTCAACAAACTTTTTAGACATACAAACAGCATGCACATTTGCCTTCAAAGAGACTAAGGAGTGGCCATCCTTTGCAAATGTTACCTGCAGAAGATCGCAACCTCAAGCACAAGTTCCCTGCAACTCTCAATATTAATAATCCCTCAAGCATTCTGTTAGAAGTTATATTACCAAATAATTTATTTCTATTAAAAGTTATGAGGATTAGATTTATTTCCTAATATGATTTTATTTTCTTTCCTATTTTAGATTTATTTTCTCAGATTTAATTTATCTCCTTTCTTATTTTAGGCATTCCTATTTTATGTTGTTTCATTTATCTCCAAATAATTAATATGTATTGATTAATTGAAGATATTAGGTGTTATATCTCTCATTTCCTGTTAATTTCTTTTATTATTTTTTCTATTCTACGATTTATGTAAGGGTTATTTATACTCTCTTTCATTATCAATAAAAAAAATTCCTCATTATTCTATATTTAAATATAGTATCAGAGCCAAATTCCCTACTCAAGCCGCCAATCCTCCCTCAAAAGCCGTTGGACTCCCTTCCTAATATTTTCGCTGCAGGAAGGAAGGGATGCTTTCTCTCCCCGATCCTGCTTGTTGTCCTTCTTGATCATTTCTTCAACGCACTCGGACCTTAAAATACCTTCCACCGCCTTTTCTAGCGTCGCACACGCCCCCTTTTGAGATTGGCTGGCGATTCTTGACCTATCGGTGGTGATCCCTTTTTGTACAGAACTTGGAAAGTTGTAATGATGCTCACTTCAAAACGAAACGCTACAACAGACATCAAAACTAGCATTGTCGTTGGGGAAGATACAACCAGTTCTTGGATCAATTGCTGCCATTTCCGGTTCTTCTAGCCTATGTTTTGGCCACAGTATCTTCGACAGCGGTGGCGAGGCGATGGATTGGAGGATCCTGTGCTCAGCCTTCAGCCGATCGATATTTATAACAAAATTAAACCTTTGCCACTTGTGAATCAGCTTGATGTTGATGATGACATGCACCTAGAGCTTACCCAACAGAATTATAAAGCTGGGAAATTTAAGCAGACGTTGGAGCACTACAACGTGATCTACGAGAAGTACCCACAACACACGGATGTTCTTCTACTGCTAGGTGCCATCCATTACCATTTGCATGATTATGGCATGTGTACTGCAAGGAATGAGAAGGCTCTTGCTATTGACCCACATTTTCCTGAATGCTATGGTAACATGGCTAATGCTTGGAAGGAAAAAGACAATATTGATAGAACTCTTGGGGGGATCTAATGTAACAATAGTTACTTCACGAATATGGATTGTTCCAACGATTTTTTTTTCTTTTTGCAAATATTCAAAATACTCAATATAAAAAAGAATAAAAGAATAATAAAAAATATTAAATCTAATTCTAATATATTAACCAATGAAAAATGAAATAGTAAAAGAATTCAATAGATAGGGATAGTAATAAGAATTTCCATTTCTAATAATTACTATTTAGAATAGTAAGAATAGCTTCAGTTTAGAAGTTCAAAGTGAAATAGTATTAACATATTTCTTCTATGAACGAACAATTACTTGAATAAAATGAGAGGATTCAAAAAAAGTAAATATGAACCGAACCGCCAGTAATTACCACGTGGCTCTTGAGCTATGACCAAAATTCGATGATGCTTGGTCAAATTTAGCAAGTGCTTATATTAGGAAGGGGAGGCTTCATGAGGCAGCTCAGTGTTGCCGCTAAGCTCTTTCTTTAAATCCTTGCCCAGTTGATGCTAATTCCAATCTTGAGAATCTCATGAAATCACAAGGGCCGATTCAAGAGGCATATCATTGCTATCCAGAGGCATTCTGAATACAACCAAATTTTGTTGTCGCTTGGTTCAATTTCATTGGGCATTTTATGGATGATGGAGATCTTCATAGAGATCTTGTATACTATAGGGAAGATTGTTACAGAGGATTCATCTTTGGTTCAACAACTTGAGAAAGGTTATTACAGAGACGATATTGGATGTATCCTTGATTGGAATCCAATCAGCCGACCTACATGCCCTTCTCCGTCAATTTCTTCTCTGCTGTCGATAAACTCTATGCAATAGGTTCTCCAATGAAATTCTTCTTGTAGTAAACTCCAACAGAATTCTTTCCTACAACATACTCTCCCCTGGAAATGTTTTCTCGTAGTAGACCCTCCTCCGGAGCCTTTCCTGCATTAGCCCGTCCCCCGGAATCTTTCCCGCAATAGACCCTCCTCCGGAGCATTTCCTACGATAGCCCCTCCTCCGAAAACTTTCTTGCAATAGCCCCTCCTTCGGAGCTTTTTCCTTTTTTTTTTCTTTTTTTTTTTGCAGACCATACCATGTAGCTTTTCTGGCATGTTGTCTACTTCCCTGCAAACTCCCCTGCAATATTTATTGTAGAAGTCTTCCACCTACCTATAGACACTACAAGAACTGTGGTCAAAGACAACCACAGTCAACTAGAAGTCAGTTTTTCCTGCAGGTTGTCTAATTCCATGTAAATTCCCTTGCAGCATTACCTGTAGGAGTCTTCTGCCTACTTACAGACACCGCAGGAACCACAGTCAAAGACAATCGCAGTTAACTAGAACTCAGTTTTTCCTTCAGATTGTCTACTTCCCTACAAACTTTCCTGCAATATTACCTATAGGAGTCTTCCGCCTATCTACAAACATTGCAGGAACTGCAGTCAAAGACAACAACAGTACGGGGAAGACTTCAAGTTCTACTTCACAGGATCTTCATTGCCCATTGTTTGCTATTTTCAAATCCAAGTTGAACATAATTTCAACCACGTTTCAACTTGAAGAAGGGTGTTAGAAATTATATTAGAAAAATAATTTATTTCTATTAGAAGTTATGAGATTTAGATTTATTTCCTAATATAATTTTATTTCCTTTCCTAATTTAGATTTATTTACTTGGATTAAATTTGTTTTCTTTCTTGTTTTAGGCATTCTTATTTTATGTTGTTACTTTTATCTCCAAATAATTAATATGTATTGATTAATTAGAGATATTAGGTGTTATATCTTTCCATTGTTGTTACTTTATTTTTATTGACTTTCCTATTCTAGGATTGATGTAAGAGTTATTTATACCCCTTTTCATATCAATAAAAAAAATTCTGCACTATTCTAAATTTCAACACATTCCAATGAACCATTCAAAGCCCAAAAGAGTCCCAATGTGGCCACAAATCCCCAAATGAAGCCGGTTGGTCGGCCTAACCCAAAGATGTTAATTATTGATTACACACAAATTAGCACCAAAATAAGCACAACAAAATTTATTAGTCATCTCCTACTCCAACAGAATCAATGTTTGAGTATCTAGCCAATAATAGATTATATTACAAAAGTAAATAGACTTGATCATTTGCAATAAGCTAAATTCCAACTTGAGCGCACAACTGCTCTCAAAATAACAAAATGATAACTTAAAAGAAACTTATAATAAAAGAAAGTTATAATAGACGAGAAAACTTGAAAAGCTTATAATATATGAAAAAGTACTTATTCATGCATGCAACTCAAAAAATGCAATAGGAACTAAATGGATGTAATATACTTACCAAGGAAGATTGTGAAACCAACTTTACAAGGCATAGATACCTATCCATGATGGATGCAATAAAAATCTCAACTGATTCATCATTGTTATCTGACATCCTGCTCAAGCTTTAACCCAAAACTGTTTGGAAATTTCCCCATTATCGCAGCTTCTCTTGCTATTTGAATGTCAGAAGGCCAAAATGTCTGCCAAATAACTTTACATGCAAATCGAGGTAGTAATGCTAAAACAGTTATCAGTAGAATAGCAAGCCAATACGTCCTTGAGCTGATTAAATGGTATATCGTCCTGCAAAGCAAAAAACATAATAAAAAGCCCGACACAATTGAATTTAGGGGCATTTACATACGTACCACTCAATTCCTATGTATTTACACATCTAGCCCGTAAACTTCAATTTTTACATACATACCACCTTAACTATGCATGAGAAGAGGTATTCCACTTTTTAAAAATTAGAACGGTGACATTTTTTATGAGATATGAAATGAGTAAAGAGCCAAAATAATCCCAGACTGTTTACATGGGGATATTTTAAAGCCTAGTGTCAAATTAGTCCCTACTCTTTAAATTGAGGATGCAATAGTCCTTTATTGAGGCTATTCAGCCCATGTTAAAAGAAATTGGAGACTAAATTGACACTTTATAGACTCTAGACTAAAATGACCCCTTGCAAAATATCGACAGACTATTTTGACACTTTGCTCAATATGAAATATTTGGGCGGTATAAATGTAAAATTGAAGTATAGGTGTTAGATATGTAAATACATAGGAATTTTGTACTATGTATGTAAACGACACAATCAAATTTAAGAAAATACAAAAAGAAGGCAATTGTACTGACCAGTAGTTGGGAAAACTTGGTATGGAATCTAATGCTACCATGCACAAACAAGCAACAACAATTGATCCCCATGTTGCCAAATGAGTTATCAAAACCCACCGCCGTATATCCATGGCCAAGTGAATGTTGACAAGGACAACTACTGCAATAGTCCACAGACTACCCAAGCTCCATATGTCTATGGTACTATATCTGTAGGCGAAGAAAGGCACATAGAATAGAACAAGACTTTGCCACAGTGTATCCAGCATTGTGATCCAAAAAAGATGCAAATTATAGCTCTCGTGTCGATGTCCCGAACAATAAAGTTTCGGATATAGAAGAAGTGTTTTGTGACTTAGGTCCTTGTCCAAAATACCCACAACAATTGTTGGCACTGATGTGTAAATAACAGAATAAAATACACTACTCCAGTCTGTTAATGCAGAAGTTGTGGAAAATGCAGTTTGTAAGATATACCTGCATAGAGAGAGCATAAACTGGTAAAAAAGTGTTGACACGCATCATTTTTCTTTGCACTATTTACTAATATTTTTATTACACAACCAATTAGTCATTTCTAACATGAATGATGAATGGAAAGGATTGCAAAAACTACTACAACAACAACAACAACAAAGCCTTAATCCCACTACGTGGGGTCGGCTACATGAATCCTTTTTCTCCATTGCGTCCTATTTAGTGTCATATTTTCATTTAGTTCTAGTAAATTAAAGATCATTTTTAATACAATAAGCCCAAGTCTTCCTAGGTCTACCTCTGCCTTTCTTAAAACAAGTCGAATTTAAAACATCTACTCTCCTAATCGGATCATCTAATGGTCGACGTTTAATATGACCAAACCATTTAAGACGACTTTCTCTAATTTTGTCTGTCACAGGAGCTACACCAACCCCATCATGAATAAAACAAGAAAGGATTGCAAAAACTAAAAACAAGAAATAAAACAAGCTAGGATCTCATAAAAAAATCAACAAGGGACCGAGGTCATGCATTATTATATGAAAGATTCGAACTTTTAATTTCTAGGACTGATTTTTGTCATCTTTTGAAGGTAAATGAGGACTTCGTCTGCGCTGCTACTCATGCATGCAAACAATATTTCCACGCTCCGCAAGATGATATTTCTCTGTGGCATTTACATACATACCATCTACATACCACCGATTCTTTTGCATTTACATATCCAACACCTAAACTTTGACTTTTACATTTATAGCACCCAAATCATTCATATCACATAAAAAATGCCAATATTTTTACTTTAAAAAAGTGAAAAACACCTTTTCATGCATAGGTAAGGTGGCATATATGTAAAAGTTAAAGTTTAGGAGTTAGATATGTAAATACCTAAGAATTGAGTGGTATGCATGTAAATCTTCCCTTTTCTCTTTGGCTTGGCCTTGATACTTAAAACTTTGGAATTAAGTGGCAATAACACTAGGTTTGCATGGGCCAGTCGTAGAGACGATATAACTTACAATCAAGTATGAAACAAGCTAAAATTTAAAGGTAAGATTAAAATTTAGTGACACAAAAAATTATAAACAATGTAAAATCAAGTTAGAACTTGAAATTACTGAACTGTTTTCCCCGTCAATATGCACTATGATGACACTCTGGTATAGGTAATCAACAAGTTGATTGAATTAAACGCGATGGTTGAGTGATTCCTCAGGCTATCAGATCACTTTTAGTTGGCAGAATCAGTAACCAATGAAACACAAAAGTGCTTTCTAAGTTGTGTAACCAATGTGTCACAATGTATATCACATAGATATATAAGCAAATCACAAGCATATTAAACTGAAAAAAAATCAATCCTAATTTGCCTCCTATGCTCATTCCAAAGTCAAGTATTTAAATTAGAAATAAATAAATAAATAGATAAATGCGGAATAGCATTGATCAATTTCATAGAAATTCTGTTCCATTGCTTCAATTATCTTTCATTTCTTCAACAAAGCCTCACATTTTTATTGGAAAGAAGTTGATTACTTGCAAATGTGGAGTATGGCTATCTCTGTTCTATTTCTCATTTCTCAAAGAAATCTAAGGGATTTGTTTTTTGGTTTTATTTTTGTTTTTCCTTTGTCTATTAAAACATGTTTTTTTCCTTTATTTTTTAAAAACAATCATATCTTAATCAAATTGTCAAATATATTTCGTTTCAAATTTAAAACATAAACATAGCAAAATAAAAGCCAAAAATAGAAAATAAAAAACAGAAGTCATTCCAAACAACCCCCAAGTATCTAAAGATTAGAGCAGAAATTCTGGTTATGATTATCAACATTTTTTTTTTGCTGAGATTAGTATATTTTTTTTCAGATTTACTCAACTTAAATGCTCTAGCCCCAAAAGTAATTGTCCCTGCTTAAGAATATAGTAAAACTCATCTACAAAAATGCAATATCAAACACAATGAAATTACCTGTAAATAGCTTTCTGATAAATAACATACGTAATAAATCATTAAAAGAAAACAAGAAAAAATAACCACATGCCAGCAGCAGAAGAAACTCCGGGTGCATTTAAAGTCATTATGCATACCAGAACAACATTAGCACGAAAACAGCATTTCTGTAGAAGTTGTAAAGAACCAAGTAACCGACACGCTGATAGTTCCAGTGACCGTGCACAAGAAGCAATCTTTTGAGGAATCGAAACTGTCCCATAGCGAAATCCGATGCCATTACCGCTTGACGACCTTCTTGACCACATATCCCAACACCAACATCGGCCATTTGAATCATGGAAACATCATTTGCTCCTGAAGAATGCAGCATTTAGTTTAAAAGTTTATTTTCTGTGACAATATACATTCCTGGCACACAATTTTTATGTATTTACATGTCTCACACCTGAAATTTCATATTTACACAAATAGCACTTTGGTATGTGATATTAAAGATTTGAGTGCTATGTATGCAAATACATGAGAGTTGTGCGCCATGTATGTAAATGCCTCAAAAAACTAAGCTATGTGGCATAGAACAAACCCAGGCGACTAAAAAAAACACTGGCACTGATCATAGTGTTCTTTGAAATAAAATACACAATAAAAAGTTCTCTTCCCTGCTGGTTCCAGCAGGGAAAATAAAGCTTTTTCTTACATAGCCGATAAAAAAATTCTGTACTTTTTGCAAGTTTGGCAGTTTGACAAGCAAAGCTAACCATCATTTTCATATACTGAACATCAAGAATCCATTATGAATAACAACATACAAAGTTCAAAAATAAGTAAATTACAAAAATTAAACAAAGGGTCAAATTCTACCAACTTGAAAAGTTCAACTCACCATCACCAATGGCCAAGGTCATGTCATTTGACCTGCTCTTGATAAGATCCACAATTCCAGCTTTTTGCAATGGCGCAACTCGACAGCAAAGCACAACCCTACAGGATGTTGCCAGTTCAAAAAGCTACAAAAGAAAAAAAAAATATTGATAACATTATCAGTAACCTTAAAAAATAAAGTTCAATGCCTAACAAATAGAAGTTAATAGAGATTACTCATACATCTGGTTCGAGTTCTTTCTCCAAGATGTAAACAAGACTGTTTCCATCGATAATAAGTGCGAGTGAAGGATTTCCAGAGCCTACTACTTTCTCCATAGAACCAATAAATTCACCCTCTTTTAGCTTCTTGCTTCCCTCAGTGTAAATCAATGGTTTCACTCCATGCTTCGCCTTTGCATTAGCCAAAAGAAGCCTGCAATCTTCTTCTGAAGTTCCATTGATGATAATTTGGTGCATGTCATCAGTCAGGAGCCTGCAAGAAAGGGCAATAGAGATTGCAGTCTCTTGTTTGTCGCCAGTAAGGACCCAAACTTTGATACCAGCTTGTCGAAGGGATTCTATGGTCTCAGGCACACCCTCCTGCAATTTGTCTTCGATCCCAGTAGCTCCAAGGAGATTTAATTGGCATTCTATCAGAGCAGCTGCTTGTCGAAGCTTGTTTGCTCTCTCAGTTAAAGAAGTACTGGCTTCCTCATATTTCGCCTGCCACTCCTCCAGTTCAGCACCACTAAGATCCCTTGCAGCAACCACGAGGGTACGTAAGCCTTGCAAGGAATAGTTATTCAAGTGATTCTCAGTCATGTTTTTTATTCTTGCAGACTCAGTTTCACAACTACCATTGTCAATCTGATGGTTGAGAATGCTTAACACTGAAGTATCAGCACCCTTTACCAGAACCTTGATGGCATTGTCAGGAAACCTGATCACCACGGACATTCTCTTTCGCACACTATCGAACTCATGAAGGCCAAGTACATCTAACCTGATTTAAACAGTGAGATTTACAAAGTCGTATTAATACTAAATGTTGAAGAAAAAAAGAGAACAGTGCCAAATTAGTCCCCTGACTATTTAGAGGGAATAATTTAGTCCCAGAGTTTATAAAAGTGCTAAATTAATCCCTATATTATTTTAATGGGGGCAAAAATAATCCTCACTAAGAAATAGTCTGATAACTAAATTGACATTTTATAAGTTTTGGGACTAAAATGACCCCTCTGCAAAAAGTCAGGGGACCATTTTGACAATTTTCTCAAGGAAAAAATGAGAAAACAGTGATGGCATGACTCGAGTAACGTAGGTCAAGGAAATGAAGAAGCAAAACATTGCCTACCTAAGCATCTCACCATTCACATCAATAACAATGTGGCCAGTTGTGCGTTCAATGAGAGTAAATCCATAAGCAGATGCAGCGGCAACTAGAGCTTGTTCATCAGGAGACTCACCCTGGTACTCAATAGACACATCTTCATCACATGCTAGATCAACAGAATTGGATGACAGACTCGAAGTTATTGGAATGACAGTATTACAAGCTGCCAATGTAAGAAAAAATTCACGAGCAGCAGTTCTTTCCATTCCAGGTACGTCGCCGTGTAATAATTCCACAAGTTCAGTGTCAAGATTAATTTCTGATTTCAGCTTCCATTTCTTATGTCGTAACACATCTGTGTAGCAATAAAAAGCCCGTAGCCAAACAATTATGCCAAAGTTATGTCAAAAGAAGCTTGCTTAGCTCAAATTACAAATAAAATAACCATATGTGCCTTAACTCACATGGCCTGAAACAAATTTAAAAGAATGATGCTCGGTAACAAATACAGATTAAAGTCACAATTTTCACATGCGAGGATTCAAATGGTAGTGTAAATAGAAAAAAAAAAATTTAGAAAATTAAGACTTCAATTTTCATCATTTCTTGGATTAAAACAAAATCAATACATTTGAGGGGCTTAAAATTAATGTTGATTTCTAACCAAAACCAACCAAACAGCGTGTCTGGCAAATTTTATTGTTTTCAAATATGTTGTTGACATATGTCATGATGAAATATGAATAATATCCGGTCAAAATCAAAGCAAAGATAATCGTCAAATGCAATATAATACGAAATCAGTTTAAAATGTTTGAATCATATAAAAAAAATTATCAACTAAATACTCGTTACTTAAAATAGACTTCACAAGCCCAAAATGACAATTATTTCCGGTCATCCACATTGTTTGGCGTGCCCCACAATGAAGGAGAATAAAATCTACCTAAAAGCATTGACAAATGTCACCCATTAGCAAATGAAAAGAGTTGGATTGTTGCCCACTCATAAAATGGATTTCGTCAAAGTTTTCGGGGCCACGAAAATGCTAAGGAATGCTAATATGATCGAAAGCTCTTAAATTACAAATACAAGTTTAAAATATTCAAGTGAATTATATTATTGAAAACTAAAAGTAAACTCATTTACCCTTCGTAATAATATATTAAGAGTAATGGTTAAGATTAACTTAAACTCACAAACTAATGTTATATCAAGCAATAATCCTATGACAACTCTCAAAAGTTTCAATGCCAAAGAGAATATGACCTGCGTTCTTCGTCCATGTGGTTACACGCAAAATTACAACACAAAATAATAATTACAACTGAAGCCCTCTTATCGAGTAGCTTGCAATAAAGTATACAATTATATTAAGGCCACAACTCCAAAATATATGTTCTCCAATGACAATACTTGTTATGAATCATATGGTATACTTGATAGGGCACAAAATTCCCTATTAACTAAGGTCGACTTAAAATTATCATGTTATGCAAATGTCCACCACAAGTTTATAAGGTTCCTTTGAACGATGTAACACAAGAATACTAAAAGGATTTATAAGTCGGGTTATGTCAACTACCTTTGCAAACTAAGTTGACTAAGATCCATGATAACCTAAGACGACAAAACTATGATATATTGATAGGGTTCATAACAACTCCCCCACCATCCACTCTAAACTAATAGTGGCAAATTTCTTCAATATAAAATCAGCTGTTGCAATTATATGCCAAGTAATTAAGATCTTAACAGCTGGTCTAAATAAAATATAAAAAAATAAAATAACTTGTTATTGTTAGTGCTTACATCTATGAAAACCTCAAACCAGATCATTCCTAGCAAACTAAGGACAATATTATTGAGTGGTACCATATGAACAATCAAATATGCCTTCTAAAATTCTGACCCGAAACCATGCAAGACTCTCACGAGAGGTTGGGAAGTAAATTTTTAAAGCTCATAAAATGTATCTCCAACTTCAAGCACCCAAATTGCCCTAAAAAACAATAAATATCCAGCGACATTGTGCACCCATCAGCCTGTGCACTTAAAAATCTACATCCTTGGCAACCAAGATCCAACGCAGGTTTGTTTTGGGGGAGATATTTTACTAGGGGGCTAAAATATGCACCAACCAATTTTAAGGCCATGCTTGAAAAGAGAAGATCTGCTTTAGGATGATGAACCAATGCGAGTGATATGCTGTACTGATGTCTTAAATAAAACTACTTGGATCCGAAAATCATTCGAATAAAAAGATAGATGGTAGCCTTCTTCCTTAATACAACCAGGACCTGCCAACTGCCCAGAAACTATCACATTAATTATAAGTCATCAATAAAGTTTTTATTTTTCTGCTAAGAATCTACTTGTGCCAAAAAACACTTGCAACTCTTAAATGCATCAAACCATAGCTTCACATTTTCAGTAAAAATCATGTTTGTTAGATGCATTTGTTTGTGCACTTGAACAAAATAGTGTAAATTCTTATTTTAAGATCCGAACATTTATTTCAAAATTACTAGACTCATCAACATCAGTCCTTGCAATGAGGAGGATCAGATAAGTTGAACGGGGCTTACAACCCTATCTTATAGATAATGGGCCCGAATAGCCTGCGCAACATTTTCGAACTTAGTATTTGATCATTCAATACATTAGTTGGAACAAATGCGGGTCTTTAATTCTTATATTTGACTTGTTTTAGTTGAAGCGTTTGGTGTCTTAAGGCAATTTATTGATTTTAAACATGAATTAAATCAAATAGCTTGAAAGAATGCATCTTGAAAGGTTTGCATAGATCTTGAGGTATTTGTATTCATAAAATCATAAAATTATTTAAATATCTTGAAATTTTGTGTGAATATTATGACTTTTTGTTGCACACAAATTTTCATTTTAAGCATTTTACCACCTTTTATTTGCTAGCAGGTATTGTGAATTCAAAGACAAAATTTTAAAGTTCGAAAAGCCTTGTATTTGAATTATTTTCGTCCTTAGAAGCCTAAGTTCAAAAAACTCAATTTGGAATTGATTTTAAAACCCTATGAACGTAAGTCTGAAAAAAGCTCACTTTTAAAATATTTTCAAGTCTTATGAGCTTTAACTTTTAAAACCAAAATTTAAATATTTTTAAGCCCTAGGAATCTATGTTTTGGTAGGGTGAGAGAGGTAAGTGGAAGCGATGATAGGGATGTGCAAATGAGGAATGTTATATGGTTAATTATTTCTAACTGAGAAAGAGAGCGGGATCAGTTATTGTGCATTCAAGCGGGCTTTTGCAGGCAAGAGCACGTAAATGAACATTTGATTAATTAATTGTTTTAATTAATTTTAAATATATATTATTTTTTTATTTCTCTCCACCTTTTTTATTTTTTACGGTGAACAAATGTCCCCAACAAACATGGTGTGCACCTCGAGCAAAACATGTTTGTTGTCCCCCAACTGTGATCTTTTCAAACATGTTGATTATCAGCTTTCTTTTGCAGAAAATATTTAGCTAGAAGAGAACACCCGATCTTCCACTTGATGAGCCGAGTGAGAATTCTAATTGAGCATATATTGATAGTCTTGATCCTCGAAGGGACGCTGATATCCGGGACAAATTTGAGTTGCATCAGGATATGCCTATGAACCGAAACATTAATATTAAATTCTTCACTCATTCTCCTATTTTTCTAGATTGCTTGTCATAGACTCCGGAGGTTCAGGAACTCGCGAAACGGGTTACTGCTCTCAAGTTGACGTGTGAAGAGCATAATCCTTTATAATGACAGTTTGATTTCATTCGATGTTTTATATCTAATATGTTAGGCCGATGTCCGTCATTTTCAAAGTTGATAAAGAAAAATATTCATTTAAATGGGATGTTGAATATCAAGAAACTTTCGATAGAATTAATATATACCTCTTAAGCCCACTCATTCTCTCACCACCAATTCTAGGAAAGTCTCTTATTTTGTACACAACAATATTAGAAGAGTCCCTAGTGCTTTGCTAGCTCAATACAATGATGATAGCAGGGATAATGCTCTTTATTATATCAGTAGGAAGAATTAAAGGAGCAAAAAAATGATATTCTTCAAGTGAGAAATATTATTTGGCGTTAATTTTTGCTGCTCAAAAGCTTTCACATTACATGTCTCACAAAATCACTCTCATCCCAAGCATCGATTTACTGAAGTTCTTGATGACAAGACCAGTATTGACATGTCGCTTGGCTTGATGGTTAGTACTGCTCTTGCAATTTGATATCACACATGTTTCTCAAAAAGCAATGAAAGGACAAACTCTAACAGATTTTCTTGTTGATCATCCCGTTTCTGCTGATTCTCCGCTCATCGAGGATTTGTCCAATCTAATCATTTAAAAAAATGAGAAACTACAAATTTGAGAATTATATTTTGATGGAGCTTCTTCCATCAAACCTGCCCAACCTACAGATCTTCCAAAATCACGAGCCGGCATTAGTCTCATCTTTGTGATACCAGAGGGAGGCATAATGAGGTATTCATATGGATTAATTGAGCCTCGTACTAATAATGAAGCTTCAGATGATATAAATCATCAAAAGTTGTAATTTTTGCTTCACTTACTATCCTTTTTACAGAGCTTCTAGCTTTCTTGTAATCATAAGAATTTCAATCTTCAGAAACATCTATTTTCCTTTATCACATTTCTAGCTACCCTCCACCATAGTTTCCTTATTAATTCACTTTTAAACACAAAATCACATTTATATGTGCTTGTTGAGAATTATATTGATAGTAATCAATCTTATCACCACCATATTTGTTTCAAAAACTAACCATTTAACTTAGTACCCATTATTATCCTTACCTTATTTCAATGGGTAACATTTTTAGCAAATAATAACTTATAATGTTCTCAACTTTTAGAACGTAATAATTAAAGTTTAAAAGGAAGTAGATTTTATGGATTTTTAAGTTCGATTAAAGCTTCCTCTAAAAAATTCTACCAAGACATGAAAATATCTGACAAGATATTAAATTCTCACCTTAACTAACTTGATGTTTCCAACATAGACTAGGAACATCAAAGTCTTCATTATCGAACCGAAGCAAAAGCCCCAAGTTTTCATCCCTTGAACTAGCTACCAACTCCAAAAGCTAATCAATCATCTATGGTTCTATGGGATAATCCTTGAATGTGGTAAAACATATTTGATAAGAAGGAATTCATTATGTCACAGCCAAGGCTCATAAATAATGAAAGCATGGTCACAAAATATCCCACAATCATAAAAACTTGAGACCTTAGCATGCTTAACCAATCCTTCCACACACATACTCCCAAAGTCATGCATACCAATAAGCCATCAAAATTCAAAGCCAAGCACCCTCTTAAGTCATTAGTGCTTTCTCAATCAAAAGAGATAATTAACTATTATGGGCCATAAAAAATCCAAAAATGCAGATCAATATGTCATAAAATGCTAATTGATGTCTTTGCTCGTAGTACAATGCTTGCTTTCTACTTCCCTAATATGAATTGGATGTAACAAGAAGTCTTCTAGAAACTCCACTAAACAAATACCAAATTAGTTTTGTGATAGGCTTACCTATTATGTATGATAGGTACTAGCTTCTAATATGTGATGTGATATGTTATATCAATTTAATAAGGAAATAAGGCTATAATTAAGTGTGATAGTTTTAAATGTGTAATAAATTTAAATATCTTAAAACCATTATGCATAAATAGAAATAAAAGGGAAGAAAAAACTTCTAAAATTGAGACATAATGGTTAAAATTGAAAAACGCCTCTAAAACTTTTGCTGATATAAGTATCATTGAGGCTTAAATGAAAAATGTTATAAAAATGAAATTAGGTTGGCAATATTTTATGAATTTAACTATTATGCTATTAAAAATCATTGATATCTGAATGTCTCAAAAATAAAAAAATTATGATAAATTTGAGGCAAAATTATGAATGATAAATTAAAAAATGATTATATCAGAAAAAAAATATTTGAGTGATATTTATTGAAAATAAAGCAAGTGAAAAAAAAAAACTCATGTGATTTGAACGAATACAATAAGGAGTAAAAATGTGTTTGTATGAGTTGCAAAATAAGTGTTAAAAGGACAGAAGAAAAATGAGTAAACTTATATTACATGGATAGTTAGATGCTCAAAATGATTTTTAGCACCTCAGATGACACTCAACAAAAATGAATGAAAAGTTAAGTTTCATAATATCAACCTAAACAATTGATAGCTAATGTTGATGATGGTATCACCTAACAAGATAATTGCTTGTTTGTTTTGTTTTAAACAAGCAAGGAACAAAAGCTCTAAAAAGATTGCTTCTCACATTAGAAAACAAATGAAACTATGGCATATTTATATTCATGAGTTAACATGTAACTATAGAAACTTAACATGACAATTAAAAGATAGCAAAATCACCAGGTGAAAGTAGTACAGGCAATGAAGACGAAATTATGCAAACATCCCATTGTTCCAAATTTACCATTAATGTACAAATTATGTTATATTAAACAAAATAGAAGTACAAATGAAGATTACAGGTAACCAACCAGAACTGCGTTCACCCATCATTAGATTCCCAGTTCCCTTTAAAGAGGTTCCATAATCCCTTCCATAAACACTAGCCCTTTGGAATTCCATCTTATTCTCGGTCAAAGTACCCGTCTTGTCAGAAAATATGTATCTTATTTGACCCAAATCCTCATTAATGTTCAACGATCTGCATTGAAACCTAGAGCCTGAATTACCATCATACATCTGTGCATCTTCAATCATGAAATAAGACTGTCCCAACCGAACAAGCTCCATTGTGATATAGAGAGAAATTGGTATCATTATTTGGAAGACTATGACAGAACTTAAAAAGGAAAAAAATATTTCCATAGGGATTCCATAAAACTTAAAATATTTTCCATTTTCTCTCCCATTAGTGATGTATCTCCTTCGATAGTAAGGGAGTGAGTCAAGCTGAGGCTCATGATCTTTAAGCCATAATCCCATACCTAATGCCACCACTGCACACATGGCAAAAAGAAAAATGGACAACCAAAGCGTTTCCCTGTTCATATAGCTTTCAAGTTTGCTCCTTTTTGAAGGTGAGATGGCGCTGTTCAACATTGCTTTTGTTTCCTGTCCAGCATACACAACAACCCCAATAATCCAGGTGGTGTTCTTAACCTGGCAGCCCCTCAAAATAATGTTTGATGGGCCGAGTGAAATCTTGTGTCCATTGTACTCCATGTTGGCTGTGAATTCATAAATATTCTTATTAGGCTGTTCACACCTGATTATCCCTGAATAAGAACCTACTTCAGCACACATGGGAGTAGTTTCCAGACGTGCATATCTTGTCTTTAGATTCGACTCACCATCCAAATTCATTGTCTGGACAAAAGCTACACCATTTGGATCACTTGTCCCTAACAAAACCATGTCACAAGGAATGGTTTCATCACAGAAAATTTTCACCACCTCTCCAGCATGTATGTTCTTCCATTTCTTTATCCTAAATTGTCCAAATTGGTAAACTTGAGCATCACGGCTGTTCTCATTTCTATCAGATCTGTGCCTCCTCCAGTCTTCATAGCCATCTTTCATAGCTGTCACACAGAGTACAAATAGAAGGGGGAAGAGAGAAACAGTTCTACCAAAAACTGCCAGGGGAGGAAGCTGATTTAGACCGGCAATGGCTAAAAAATACAGATAAGCTACTCTGTGAAATTGGATGAACAGGTTTTTAGGTAAGAATGTAATAAAAGTATATTTACTGGTACGAATCTCATTCCCACTGAACTCATATTTCTCATTAGTCTTTCTTGGATCATTAATGTATATCAACCTAGTGTTGTCCTCGGATGGAAATAGGTCATCAAACTGAACGCTTTTGTGACGAATTCTATGTGATTTGCTTCCCTTTTCAAGTCCCTCGACAGACGAAGAAATTTCCAGAGATGATGGAATTTGCTGGCGTTCCATGGCATTCCAGGAAACAAGGTGACTTGACTCTTGAGGAGAGCATTCCAGAACAATTTGATCAAAGAAGTGAGAATCTGCGGAATGAAACTGCTCCGTTATACTTGTTACGTCAGAATCCCCAGAATCCCCAATATGTAACAGAGATAAATCCTTATCTCTAACTGAAAAACCCTTGCCTGCCATAAGGAAAAAAAAATAATAATTATCTCCTGGAATGGAAGGAAGAAAGGAAGAAGATTTGCAGAGGAAATGGGACGAAGTAAAACCTGAGCAAGACTGCAGCAATGGAGAAAATTTGGCTTCAATTTGAGGTGAGTGCAGCAAGGGCCTTTCAGGAGTCATAAAAAAATCCTGCCAGAACGCATTTGAAGCAAAATACTGTATGCTGAACAGATTTTAACCATCTAGGCTCCCTGACACAGCCAGTGAAAGAAATTTTATGTTAAAAAAAAAAGCTAAGTGATTAAATCTCCAAGAAAAAAACAAAGAAGCAAGGGAATATTTAAGGAATTAGGCTCTACATCTTCGATCATTTTGAAATTCCTCGTAGTGATGTATTGCTGATGCGAACTAATTGAAAAAACGTCATCAAATATGGAATAGAAGCTAGAAAAATCAATATAATCAAATAAAAAAAATACTTTTTTTTTTCTTTTGTGTAGAACATGCCATTACAGAACCGAAACTCTTCGACCTGGGATTGCAGTACCAATTCCACAAAACAACATTTTAGGCCACTTTAATATTTTAATTCCAATAAAAATAAAATACAGATAGAACCAAGATTTAGAATAAAAAAAAACCAGTAACAATTGACGCCAATAGCTCCAACCAGTTCAAGATAAGCCAAAAAAACAAAATAAATCAGACATAACGAAATCAATTTCAGAAACTAAAGCTCCATCAAATCTCCTTCACGATTCTAAACCAACGAGCAAAAGAGCAGAACGCCAATACAGAAAAACCTCCAACATTTTTCCAAACCAATACCAACAATCGTCACAACCACCGGATCCTCCCCACCACTTCGCCCACACTTCCGTCCCACAATAAACCCCTCGTACAACTCCAATCAGAAACACATAAGAACCATAAAATCTCGCATCAATATATCATCACCTTCGCTTAAGATTCCACAAAATCGCCACCAAAGAAAGCCCCTAAACTCTCAGCAAAATCCACCAATCGCCATCAACATAGCTGATTCCAATGCCATTGCTGCAGATCTGATCCCTCCAACACAAATCTAAGTTGATGTTCGCAGCGGAAGCATAGAAACGCTAGGGTTTGGAAACAGAGCCCTTTTTCCTTCTTCCTGTGGCGTTTAGAGAGAGAAAATGACAGGAGAGGAGAGCGATTGGCGGAGCGCGGAATTCGCCGTTATGCGATTTATAGCATTCTCCCTTCTCTCTCTCTCTCTCTTCTCTCTCTCTCTAGGAGTGAGTGCTCCTGAAGACACCAGAAGAAGATGAACCGGGTCTCCTTTCTGTTTGTGAATTGACGGATATACCCTTGAGAATGGATCTAGAAATAAGGGTATATTAGTCATATGATGACGTGGAAAGTAACGATTGGGGAGTGTTATGGGCGGGGGGAAGGCTTAGGAGATTCTGTAATTGAAATAATAAATAGTATTTTAAAGATTTACATGAATGCCACTTGTATTTTACATATTCAACCCCTAAATTTTAATTTTTTCATATAAATTATTTTATTTATTATGAAAAATTTTTTTTGCCTTGAATGATAATAATTTTTTATATTATACGAAAAATTATCCGTGCTAAAAAATTTAAGTTATCTCTTTACAAATAAGAAATTGATTTAGAACATTCTATAAGAGATTTTGGAGGATCCCCTCAAATGAATTGTGTTTGATTAGAATTTGAGTGCATTAATTATGTCAGAATTAAGCGATCTTGGGTTTGTTAGAGTCGTATCACCAAGACGCTCGATTTAATGAAAGCTTTTTAGATTAAAAATTTGTTTTACATTTTGATTATGTATTGAAAGTTTTCTAGAGTGATTTAAACGATCTGATTTGGTTTAATTTGGCTCGGATCATACCAATCTTAGGATCCGTTTGGGGCATCTTGCTTATCCAAAACCGCGGCCCGCGGGCCGGCCGTAGGGGTCGACCCGCGGCCTGCATTTAATGTAAAAACTCAAACGCAGTTTCAGATAAACTGATGAAACGCTCGAACCAAACAGTACGGCGGCGTTTTGCCGCCCGCACTTATAAGCTGCCCCAAACGGACCCTTAATATTGTTGGGTGGTATAAGTACAAAGTATTTGCTCAACCTCTTATGTTACTCCTCTATAGAGTATTTGAATAGGTAATATCTTCTGCAGATTAATGGACATTAACGTCTAGGAATAGACTCATTCGATTGCCTACGAATACTTACTATATTCTAGGATACATGCATTAAGCACACGAATGTAGGGACGTAAACGGGCTGCGCTTGAGTAAGCTGCATGCTTATTAGTGATCAGATCAAAGATACTTTTTTTATTCGTGTTCGGCTATTGTTCGAAATGGCATTTTGTTTGTGTCCGGCTTTGCTTGTGATTTAAAAGCTTAATTTCTATAGGGCTTTTCTCACATCTTTCTTTCGCCTACAAGATGTGGGACTAAAATGTGACTAGAAATTTTGTGAATGTTTAACTAATTAAGCTGATAAAAAATGTTTAATTAACCCAACATCTATCAAATAGATTTACAGACCTACTGCCCAAATGTAACCAGCTTAGGCCCATTTACATACTTACCACCCAAATTCAATTTTTTTTACAAATTTAACACCTCAATTTAATTTTTTTTATTTATAATTTTACCACCTAAATATAATATTAAAATAATAAAATTTAACATTTTTAATACATATAAAAAATTAATATATAAAGACATTAATAAAAATCATTATTTTTAATTATTCCAGAGAATCGAGCTCAAAAAAAATTTGTTTTTATTCGACTTATTTGCTTAACGAATGAGCAGAATAAAAGTTGTTTGCAAACAACGAGTTACTTTGACAGCCCTACTCGAATGTATGTATTTTTATTTTTATGAGGCTTTTCTTGTAAGGTGTTGGCTAATTTTTCAAATATATATTTTTTGCAAATATCTTATATTTAATGTTGTATTTTAGATTTGATATAAAAGATTTGGGTGGTATAAATGTAAAAAATTGAAGTTCTGGCGTTAAATATGTAAATACATAGGAATTGGGTAGCATGCATATCAAAGTGACTTCATTTTATGAAGGATGCAGAGAGACTGAAGAAAAAAAAGAAAAACTTGTAAGATATCCTAATTGTTGAGAAATTAGGACGAAGAAAACCAAACATCGACATAAATCCAAAAAAACAGACAGACTTAACAAGGTTCGGCAAAGATGTCTACGTCCTCGGGAGCAGAGCGACAACTTTCTTTCAATTCCAGAAAAGAAAACAGAATAGAATAGAACATGGAATAGCCTAAGGTTACAAACATGCCTATATATAACCCTAGAGTACAGTATATAATTCTCAAATTACACGTACCGTACCGCGGGGTATTTCCCCCGCACTCCCAACCCACATAACGAAACTCCACCGATTTGGACAGATTCTTCCACTCCGCTCCGCTTCGTTCCAGCATGTCCCTTACATGGTATATGAGTCATACCTAACACAAATACTTTTTTATCTAAAAAAGAAAAGACAAATGGCATGGGATATTTGAATATCACTATAAATAAAAAGAATTTACATAAAATCTATTTACATACTTAAATACATGCATGCATAACACTGAAATCATTATATTTTCATGTATAGTTTGATGACACTAAAATGTCGCAAAAGTAAAAACATCAAACAAGTCGTTCGATATGTAAATACATAAGAATTGTTCGGTATGCATGTAAATATTCGAAAAGAATGGCCTACTCTGTCTAATTATACAAGATAAATTCCCCTGAAGCAGCTTTACATTTTCACTGATTCTGCCTGCCCTCCTCATCTCTGCTTTCTGCCTCTTCATTATCAAGTTGAGGAGTTTACATACATATCATAAAATTCTCATAAATTTATATATCTAAAAATCTAGACTTTCATATTTATTTATATAACCCTGATGTTAACAAATCACATCAAAATGTACTCATCATAAAAGGATATATTTTACTTCAGACAAGTCAATATCAGTGATGTTTTTGATGTGATTCACAGATGTAGGTGTTACATGAATAAATATGAAAGCTAAAACATTGGATATGTAAATATGTAAATAGATCAAAGAGCATTAATGGCTTCCTGAGAGCTTACTATTGGGTGTGATGAGACGCCATGAATCTCCTCTCAGCAGCAAGACCAGCAGCAACAGAAGCAGGCAAATGCCTGAGGCTTTGTTCGGCTACGGCGCTTGTATCGTCGAAATTTCCCGACGAATTTTCGATCGAGGCCGACGTAGGAAACAAGCTCTCCACATCTAGCACTGTGAGCACAGGTTGGTCTTCTTTTTTATTACTTTTAGTACTAATCATGGAATTTCCAGATCTACCCAAATTCAGTTTATATATGCTTTCCTCCACAGTGTTCTTCACCTGCAATTTCCCAAAAAATAAAGGAATAATTTATAAAATTGAACTAGGCTTGTGATTTTGGACATGAATTTGAGTATCACTCTATAGTTGGATTGATTTACGGCTTAGATTGAGATTGAATTGAAGTCATTGAGCGAAGTAACGCGAAAAGCTCTGGTCAAATTGAGCTCGTGGTTTGAGAGAATTGAACGAGCATGATATGAAATTACAACATGAATTCATATATCTGTATATCTATGTTTTCTATACATTTATAGAGAAATTTACATACACTTTTTTTAATTAAAAAAAAAAGTGGTCGGAGGCTATTATACGAGCCCCCAGCCACCCTCATGTGCCTAATTATTCAAGGACCGCCCTTACTACCGACAAACTGGCCGAAGGGGGATTTGAACCCGTGACCTGAGAAGGCTTACGACCTTCAAAGAGGGTGTTCTACCAACAAGCCACAGCTAGCGGCACAGAGAAATTTACATACATAGCACATAGCTCTTATGTATTTACAAATCTCACACCAAACCTTTCACATTTACACACACACAGAAAATAGCACAATTACCACATTTTGAGAGTGAACTACATCTTTTCATGCATAGGTTTGAAGTACCAAAGGGCTATGTATGTAAATATGAAAATTTAGGTGTTGAGATATGTAGATACACAAGATTTGTGTGCTATGTATGTAAGTTTTCCATATTTACATTAATCGTCATTATCAAAACAGTAGCAACGTCTCTGGAGTCAATTTTATGAATTCTCATTTTATATTTGTGCTTGTTGAGTGTTTCTAAGATATTAAATCTATGCTTTAAAAATCATTTTGAATACTATCAATCATTGTTAAGTTATGTTAAGTTATGTCCACCCCTTCTTTCTAAGCTTTCAAAAATAAATTTATCTATTTATTTTAATGCCAAAAGGTTGCATTTTCTATCATTTGTATTACATATCTAAACTATCTTAGCCTATTTGCAATTATCAATAAATGCCAATTAAAACATTTAATATAATCATGCTTCTATATAAGAAGAAATTCAATAATAAATAAAAATCTAGATTTACACTACATGGACAAATATAACAAAAGAATCCCCAAGCAAAAATGCAATACAATCTCTATTTTGATTGCCCTACCTAAGGATGCAGACCTCATAGGATAAATAAATAAATAAATATAGGGGCATTTACATACATAACACTCAATTCCTATGTATTTACATATAGAACACCTAAACTTCACCTTTAAATTTATACCACCAAAATTTTTCATATCACATAGAAAATACCTCCATTTTAACTTTTAAAAGTTGAAATACACCTTTTCATGCATAGTTAAGATAGTAAGAATGTAAAAACTTGAATGTTAAATGTTAGATATACAAATACATAAGAATTGAGTGGTATGTATGTAAATCTTCCATTAATAAATATATAAATATAATATCTTGGTGGGATGCTCACAATTTGGATTAAACAATTTAGAAAATAGATCTAAAGCAAATCTATTTTGGCTTGAATAGCTAGCTAATAATCAAGCCAAGTTCTATCCGAGATCGAGTCAACGACTTCAAGCCAAAATTAAACCATGAGCAGATCAACTCGAGATTAGATTGTTCATTATACCAGACTGCAATAAAAGAGACGAGTTTCCATACGTACTATGAAGCGATGAACAAACGTTTTCTTATCCTGCCCGATTCGGTGAACACGGCCAATTGCTTGGGCTTCGACCGCTGGATTTAAGAGAGGTTCAACAAGGATAACATGCTGGGCTTCCAAGAGATTCAGACCGTTCGATCCATGCTGGATTAGGATCAGAAGGACTTGGATGTGTTTCGAATTCAAGGGCTGTTCTCTAAATTTAGCAATTGCAGCTTGTGATTTCCTGCAAGATAATTTCTGCTCTTTAGTTTCAGCTAATGGAATAAAAGTTGGGTGGACGTCATATAATCATGAGCAATATATGATGCCACGTTATTTAATCAATGGGACATTTACATATATACTACACAATTCTTATATATTTACATATATAACATTAAACATTTATATTTATATGCATACCACTCAAATGTCAAAAACAGCACCATAACACTATTAAAAAGTGAAAACACCTTTCCATGCATAAGCTTAATAAATTAAAGTGTTATGTAAACGTGAAAGTTTAGGTGAGAAATGTCAATACATAAGAATGGTGTACTAGGTATGTGGATTTCCCTATTTAGTTAATAGAGCATTTGAATACATACCATGCAATTCTTATATATTTACATATCTAGCACCTAAACATTCATATTTACATGCATGCCACTCAAATCTTTAACATCACATCAAAAATATCACTATCACTATCTTTTTGAAAGTGAAATATATCTTTCATGCATGATTATGGCACCAAGGTGTTATAGTGTAAACATCAAACTTTAGGTGTGTTAGATGTGTAAATACATAAGAATTGTGATTGCATTAGACCAACCAACAATAGTTTTTTGGGCCAATTACATAGATAGAACTCAAAACTTTGCTATTTACAAAACTAGCATCCTCTTTCATCCATTTTTCAAGTTCTCACTCAATAACAAAATTCACAATAAAATCCCAACCCATGTTTTCCCTTTTTTTATCAAATTCCCGGTGGTTTGACCGGTGCGCATGTAAATGCACCGATTTGATAGTTTAAAAAAATGATATAGGCGCTTGTTTCGTAAATAGCAAAATTTCAAGTGTTGTGCATATAATTATCCCTATTTTTTTGAACTCATGCAAACACCCGTACATACTAAGCCATAAAATCAAAACCTTATGATTGAAGATAAAGCACGCAACAACTTAGTCAAAGAGGTTGGACAATTACAAATATTAGATTAGAATCAAAAATAACGAATCATAGCCAATGAGAAATTCATGAATCACTGCAGAATATTTTCACAAGAATATAGAGTCTAATTCATGCATGATGATCGAATGAGGAAAATGATACTTCACACAAATAAACAAGAATTTTACAATTAAATGCCTTGTATTTTGACCAAAGCAACATCAAAACATCTAGGTTCATTTACATACATAGCACACAATTCTTATGCATTTGCATATCTCGCACCTAGACTTTCATATTTACACACAAAGTATTCAAATCTTTAATATCACAAAATATAGCAATATTATTATTTTTTTTGAAGTGAAATCCACCTTTTCACACATTGGTTTAAAGCAATAAAGTGCTATGAATGTAAAAATGAAAATTTAGGTGTGATATATGTAAATCAATAAGAATTGTGTGCTACGTCTATAAATTTCCCAAACATAAGGTTGATGGAACTAAGTCCTTTCATAGTCAACAGATGTGCAACATATGGAAAATTGTGTCTTTGCGTTTACCTGCCTCCTTTCATTCGAACATATGAAATGTCATTAGAATCCATTGAATGCTGCAATACATCGAGTACATCATTCCAGCTAGAGAAAACAAGTACTTTCGCATTTTGATCCATTGATTTTATCCACAAAATCCTCCTTGTGACAGCTTCAATCTTCAAAGATAGGAAACAAACACAAGGGCTTTGATTTTCCATACAAAACAACAAAATATTTGAAATACATGTTTCTGAACATGAAAAGCGATATACAAAGATCTTCTCAGCTAGCTGAAACTTAGTATAAATTGTAACATATAAAATTCTGACAATATTTTAATTCGACTAATAGTTCAAATACTTCAAGAAGGGGCAAAGAAGAAGCACCATGTGCTTTTCATGGCTCGGATTAGCGATCGTACAAGACAACTAGTCTTGGAAGAAAATTAGAAGAGAATGAATGTCACAATCCATTCACTGTTCACCAATTAAAATGGCTAAAGATTGATTATACACTATTAGGTAAAGCTGTAAAAAAAGCTTGTTAAGCAAGTGAGTTGAACACAAATTGTTTTTTTTAGCTCAGTTTATAAAGAAGCTAAACACGAACAAACTTTTGTTCACTCATGTTTGGCACATTTTGGCTCAAATTAATTAAAAAATTAAGTAAATAATCTTATTATAACATTTTTTTAAGCAAAATTTTAAAAAATGTTAAATTTTGTTATATCTTAAATAATTTCAGCTAATTTCGAGTCAAACATGAGCTGAAATGAACAAACAAACTTTAATTAAGCCAAACACGAAAATGTTATTCACAAGTGATTTTGAACACGAGCCTTTTACGCAAAAAAAATAAAACTCAAACAAGCTAAACACGACACACCTAATATTAGAAAATTGGTTAGTAAAGAAATTAAATCGAACGCATTTATATTCTGTGACTAAAATAACCTCATAAAAGTAGCTCAGGGACCATTTCGACAATTTTTCCACTAACTAATGCAGTCTTACCTCTAAATAGCTATTGAAGTGATCAGAGTTTCCAAAGAGATATTTATTAAAATAACATAAAACCAGCTAAATGTCATGGAAACGGTCTGATGCATCTGGTAGTCCACACTCCATCTTTACATATCTGAATGAAAGATAAATGAGAAGGAAAAAGACAACTTTGATGTAATAATTTTCTCTAAAAGGATTGCACGGTGGATAAACCATTTTTCCCTTGCCTTCATAGTTCTAGTTTCATCATGGTCTTGATAGCTTTGTTATTGGCCATTCAGTTCATAGGACGCCAATAACTAGGAAGTAAATTTTATAATTTTAAAACATCACGCACAAAAAAATGTGGACAATAATTTTTGGGTTCTTTCTGAGAATCAAAATCATTAGTCCTGTTGTAGACACAAAGTTAGTGGTTTTAATCTAAAATTTCATTCAATTCGAGCAATTTTTTTGTATAATCATCTAAAAGTAACAGGAAAATATATCGTTCAACCAATAGAAAAAATTGTGAGGATGCCTTATCAATGGCCACATAGTCGTAGAACATAATAAATGAATGTCCATAATAAACTCAGTTAGTATAGGTATAGAAAATAATTTGATTAAATTTGAAACAATAAGAAAACTATATCAAAGTCATCGTGATATAGATGGGGATGTTAGATGTTTTAAGTGGAGAAATACATCGGGCATATTGTGTGATAGAAAAGTGTTGCTTAAACTTAAAGAAAAAATTTATAAGATGGTGGTGAGAACTACAATGCTTTATGACGAAGAATGTTGGCCTGTAAAAGAGAAGCATAAAATTAAGTTAAGTGATGCTAATAATAGAATGCTCGGGAAGATGAGTGGCTTTACGCTTAAAGAGTCAAAATGTGAAACAAACATATCCATGAAAGGGTTGGAGTAGCTCTAGTGGCAAACAAGATTAAAGGAGTCTCCATAGATGGATTGGTCACATTAAACATCGACCATCTAATGACCTAGTTAGGAGAATAGATATTTTAGATTTGACTTATGTTAAGAAAGGTAGAGGTATACCTAAAAAGACTTAAAAGACTTGGGCATGTTCTAAAAAGACTTGGGCATGTTCTATAAAAAATGATATTTATTTATTAGAATTAAATGAAAATATGACAATCAATTGGACACAATAGAGAAAAAGGATTCATGCAACCAACCCCACTTAGTGGGATAAAGACTTGTTGTTGTCGTTGTTGTTGTTGTTGAGCAAACTATATTAATTAAAACAAATTAAAATTATTTTTTTCTTATCCATGAACAAGTTTCAAGTGTTTTGTGCATTGGTGTGTATAAGTGTGTAGGTGTGTTTATAATGTAATATGTGACTCCAATATAGGGTCAAGCAGCAAATATATCAATCACTTCGTACCACCAATAATTGAAAAGTATATTTTCTATAATACAACAAGGCATACCTTTGTTCCGTATGATCCTTTAACAACAATGGAACTTTCATTCAAGTCTTGAGCACAGAAGACTTTTGGGGTCCTTGAGCCGCTATCCTTATGTTGTTTCTCATCTACATAAGCAACATGCTCCATCACTGTTTGTTGACGGCAAGTAGGACACATAAGCCAATTTTTTTGGTACTTTCCTGAGCGAAGAACCACCTTCTCTGTCAAGTTTAAACAGCCTGAAAAAATAACCACCAAAGAATAGATTAGATTTACAAATACTAATAACATTGGGCAATTAACTAAAAAAGGATTTATTGCATCTAAAAAGGAAAGATGCTCCTATTAAACTGACCTATAGCGCAAAGGAACTTTGTTTTTTTTTCTTTTTTCATTATAACTAACAATGTTGATAGTAGATTATTCCACCGCTTTTGGTTATTCAACTAATGAACAAAAGAGATTAAAATTTATGTGGAAGTAGGCGCAATTGCGTATTGACATTAAAAATAAGAATAATCGCTAAGAAAACATCATTCAATTTAGAAATGGGCTCTAATTGTATTTAAAGAATTGCAAAAAGCAAATCATAGAAAGAGACCTACTATAACATTTGGAGGTCGAACAAACTAAAATGAGAAGTTGGGGAACCCTCTTGATTGCAATCTTCAAATATCTTGAAGTGGGGGAACTACCAAGTTAGAAAAAGAGTGGAGCCAGGTTTCAGCATGACAATTTTCCATACGAGGGGCCATTAAAGTGATATTTGAATGCTCCTTGAACTTAGAAGGTAAGGACATGACAAGCACAAGAAAAGGAGAATTGAAGCCTTCTTGATTGATCCTGTTCTTCAAGTTCTTGCCAAATGTAGGAGGAAACCATGGAAATAAGGGAGAATCACTCCAACATTATATTTGGTTGCTTGATCTTTATAAAATTAATCTCCATGTCCATTCTTATATCTAATCAATTTGTTGCATAGAAAATTTATATCGAGGTATGAAAGATGTGATTTAGAGGCACAAAAGTATTATTAACAATGATTTAGAGTGTCACTCAATACCATGTGTCCCAGAGAATAAAAGAACACAACTAATTTGATACATTAATAAGGTGAATTACTGAGTGAATCTCAGCCTACTTGAAATAGATGGCCTGGCTGCTTTAAGGAGGGGTGGGTTCCGAAAGTACAAAGCAGCCTTTTTTTTAACTTTTATTTATTTTTGTTTGTTTTTAATAAACCATTTGCATGTAACATCATATTTTGACAATGTGCGGGCCGTTTCAGCCATTGAAATTGACACAATATCTTTCTTACATTAAATAGAAGAATGAAACATCAATCTTTTTCAGATACAACAACAACAGCATGCCTTTATCTAAGTGGGCATATTTTCATTTAATTCTAATAGATTAAGATCATTTTTAAACAATATGCCCAAGTTTTTTAGGTCTACCTTTGCCTTTCTAAACAAAAGTTGAATCTAAAACTTCTACTCTCCTAACACAATCATCAGATAGTCGGCGTTTTATGTGAACAAACCATCTAAGACAAATTTCTCTAATCTTATCCGCCACTAGAACTGCACCAACCCTATCACAGATATATGCATTTCATATTTTGTCTCTAAGTGTCAATCCACTCATCCACCTAAGCATTCTCATCTCAGTAACACTTAACTTTGTTTTATGCTTCTCTTTTAAAGGCCAACATTCTGCACCATAGAGCATTGCAGGTCTCACCACCATTTTATAAAATTTTCCTTTGAGTCTAAGTGATACTTTTCTATCACGCAATAGGCCTGATGCATTCCTCCACTTTAACCAACCAACTTGAATTCTACTGATAAAATCCCCATCTATATCACAATCACTATGAACAATAGACCCAAGAAATCTAAAATGATCAAACATTTAATGATTTGATCACCCATAGTTACAACTCTGCCATTGTATCAGTCACTACCACTAAAATTACATTCCATGTATTCAGTTTTAAATCTGCTCATACAAAAGCCTTTAGACCACAATGTAGACCTCAATAACTTACGTGCTCAAATAAAACAAACATGAAATCATGACCACACCACACTTTCAAAATGAAAACTATTTGTTTTTGCGGCATTTACATACATACGACCATTCCTATTTATTTAAAAATTTAATACCTAAACATCGCTTTTTTACATATATACCATGCAAATCTTTCATATCATAGAAAAAAATACCATTATTCTAACTTTTAATAAGTGAAATACACCTTTTCATACATAGGGAACGTGCACATATGTAAACTTTAAAGCTTAGGTGTTAGATATGTAAATTTAGATGAATTAAGTGCAATTTATGGCGAATCTTCTTTTTTTAAAAAAGAAGTTATCACTCACATTTACAGCAAATAACATGCCCACATTCAAATACCATCTTCTGGCTGTCTATTTTTTCATGGCAAATGGGACAGAGGTCATCATCAGTCCTGAGATTGCATTCGTTTTCGTTAAAAGCTGTAATGTTTGCCATTTCAGCTCCATCTTGATTCCTACATAGAAATTGGCTTCGATGTTTTATTTCCACTTTAGATTCCACCAATCCCTGCATAAGTAAAAGATGTGACTCACATTATTTATCCAAATTAAAGTGCGGAAAAAAAAACTCTTGAAAAATGAGGATTTGTTTGGGATCACTTATTTTTGATTTTTTGTTTTTGTTTTTGCTTTTATTTTAGAGCATGTTTGTTTAAGGTTTGTTTGGGATCATTTTTTTTTTATATTTTGTTTTTATTTTTTCTTTTGCATTTAAAACATGTTTATTTAGTATTTTTTTTAGATATTTTTATTTCTTGTCTCTAAAAATAAATTTAAAATGTTTTTGAAAATACTCAAAATAACTTTAGGTGTTTTGAGTGTTTTTAAAAATACCATACCTTAATCAAACAGTCAAACATGTTTTGTTTCAAATCAATACATCAACAAAAAAATAAAAAAATAAAAAATAAAAGTGATCTCAAATGGGCGCCCCTTAGTTTACTTTTGCATGTTTTTATGTTTTGTTGTCAAAAACAAACTATTTCAAAAAAAAAAATTAAAAAAAATAGCTAACCATAATAAACATGTTTTATTTTAAAGAAAGACATAAACAAAATAAAATAAAAATACCAAGAAAAAAATCAAAAGTGAACTCAAACAGCTCCTAAGCTTTAAATAAAAACATGTTACGACTGCTCGGATAAATTATCAACGAAAAAAACAACAATTTTATTGATTTAAACTTATTTTTTTCTAAGATTTCAAACAAATCAGATATCACAGATGCAGTAGAAGGCATGCAAGGTTATCGATTCAAGATTTCTTCATGATGAATGCCTTCTATTTAAGGAAGCCTTTGTCAAAGTAATAAATTTCTTCAATTTTTCAGAAAACAGTATTTCAGACAAGCTTCAAGATCGGCATTTTCTTAAAAATAGAAGTTCATCTACATAGCATAATTTAAGCCACAAAAGGCACAATGACAGAGAAAAGCTCCTGCTTAAAATTTTCAAACCTAAGAGCAATGAGAGAAGGCCTTTCTCCATTTTTTTAGTTATTCTATTCTCTAAGACAAAGGTATTTTTAATTATTCTACTCAATTTGCATATCGTGTATTTCTCTAATTATTGCATTGTCCCTAGATTAATATAAAACAATAAATTTAAAATTAACTTTCTTCCTTTATAATTATAACAAGGTTAAAACCAGCTTAAAATTATTTCGACCCTAACATAAGTTGAGAGCTCAGTTCTGAAGTGAGGATCTCTCATCTTCTTTTAATTTTTTATTTCTTTTGTTTCAAACTTGTCCTTCTGAAGTAATCCCATATAAATTACAATCATTTTTCGTTGAACATTTACATAAATACTGTCTCTAAAATTATCATAATAATATTAATATTTTTTTTTCTCATGAATTGCATTTCTGGCAATGTAAGATAGGAAACAAAAAGCAGACAATACACTAGTAAAATGTAACACTGCTACGAAGAGATAGAAAAGCTTCTTTTCATAGTTTCATTTTTCAAACTTGACAAAAATGTCAAAATGATCATTTGAGGGGGTCATTCTAGTCCCAAAGTTTATAAAAGTGTCAATTTAGTCCCCAAAAATTTTTAATATGGGTTGCAATAGTTTCAGTGAGAATTATTTTAGCCCTCAAGCAATATAGAAACTAATTCATTCCTGCCTCCAAATAACATGATTTTCAAGCTTGAATAATTTATATTTGAAAGCAGGAACGACTCAGCAAAAGAAAAACTTTGGGCATTTACATGCATACCACTCAATTCTTGACTATGTACATATCTAACACCTAAACATTCATATTTACAAGCATAACACTCAAATCTTTAACATCAGATCAAATATACCACCATCCCTGCCTTTTTAAAAGTGAAATACAAATTTTCATGGATAAATTATGACACCAAGGTGTTATAAATGTAAATGTCAAAAACTTTCGGTGTCGGATATGTAAATACAAAAGAATTATGTGGTAGCATGCAAATTTCCCAGAAAACTTATGACAGAGTAATTAAATTTACACTGGAAAGTTCGGTTTTATACCTTCAGATAGCGTAACTGGCCTTTCATACGAGATAATAAAGACAAAGATACAAACTTGTCGTTCGAGAATTGCAGGCTACAGGGAATTAGTTCTTCTCTAGAAAGAATATTTATAGCAGTTGGCTCATCCTTCGTTTGCTTGAGCCGCAGTCTTGAGGTAGAAAGCTTGATTTCATCATAAGCACCCAATAACTGAGCTTGCGAACGTGATAATAGCCTTGCTTGAGTAAATTCTCTACGCATGGCCTGTAGAATATGAATAGAACATTGGCAATTTTAAGGAAATTACAATTCCCAATGCATTGAAAAAAAAATTTTAAAATAAAGAGTTCACGAAAAAAAAAAAAAGAAGGGGCATTTACATACATATCACCCAATATGCATTTACATATCTAACACCGAAAATTTACTTTATACATTTATACTACTCAAATCTTTCATATCACATCAAAAATACCACCATTTAACTTAAAAAAAAGGTGAAATACACATTTATATGTGTAAAGCCATATGTAATAATTGAAATTTAGATGTTAGATATGTAAATACATAGGAATTGAGTGGTATGCATACAAATCTTCTATAAAAAAAAATCAATGTAACGCGTATGTTTTTGATAAAGTTGATCATATTTATCTCTCATCGTGATGGTGGCATGGTTTTGCCTGCAAGAATATAGGCTTGATGCCCAAAAGGAAAGCAATTTAAAATGGGTCGGATGCCAGTGTGACTAACCATTCCAGAAAAATTATCAAAGGAACTTTTTTTGGTTAATCAAAGACTCCATTTATCCTTGCATATCTTCTAAATGCCGGTAAATTTAGGGTAAGGGGCATTTACATACATACCACCCAATTCCCAAGTATTTACATAGCTAACACCTAAACTTAGATTTTTACGTTTATACCTTCCCATCATATTAAAAAATAGCACTATTTAAACTTCTATAAAGTGAAATACATATATATATATATATATACATACAAATTGAAGTTTGGGTGTTAGATTTGTAAATACATTAAGATTTGAGCAATATGCCTGTAAATCTTAGAATAAACAACTATAATTAAAATAGAAACAAAAAAAAACTTATCAATTTTCAAGAATTAAAGCCTATCATTTTTGAAGAATTAAAGCCTGGCATTTGATCATCACGGCGAAGGGGAATAATCCACAATAAAGGCATAAAGAAATAGCATGTTAAATGGAAGAGCTCATTCTCATACTTGTATAGAAAAATGTTGACGATAACAAAAATGATAAATAACAGGTAATTCTGGCCCTGAACAGTCTAGATAAGTGGCTAATTCCAGCACCTACTATAACTTCGGGAATATGATATCCACTCCGTCAAGAAAGAGAAAAGTGACAAACTAGTCCTCGGGCTCTTTGCAGTGGTCATTTAAGTCCTAGAGTCTATAAAAATGTCAATTTAGTCCCATGCTCTTTTAATATGGCTGAAATAACACCCACGAAGTAATTTTTTAACCCCAATTTCAGAAGCTAATTTGGCACTTTTATAGACTCTAGAACTAAAATTATCCCATGTAATCAGGAAAGGCGGATGCATCCCCTAAAGTCATGAGAATTCAATGCATAATTGTGTCATGACCACTTACAATAACAGGATATCAATGAATGACAAGGCTGCTGCCCTTAAATAACATCTCTTTTGCAAAATTATGATAATATCTCTCATTTTCTACCTCATTGAATTATTTTTTCTACGCACTCTTGGATATACCTTATCTGGAAGTTCTTGTGTTTAAATAGACAATCAAACAGTAAGTTGAACAAATTTGAACAAATTTATTACTCCTATGAATCCTATAAATGCAGAAAACCATGCCAATGCTTAACACAAGAGAATAACTATATTTTAGAGAGAGAGAGAGAGAGAGAGAGAGAGAGAGAGATTTCTGCTGTTGAGGATAATTAGTACCAACAAAGGCTCACCTCAAAGAGCAGTAAATGCCTTCCAGCTAATGCATAACCTTGTCTCCCCAAGATTGCTTTTGAATAACTTCTAATGACCCCTAGAGTAATTTCCAATTCAGAAGGATGCCTCAAAACCTGAACAAATGAAAAACTGTAAATTTGAGAACATGAAATGAAAAAAGCCACCCAAAGTAGGCATATAACCTTATGGAGAATATTGTAACAGTCGACAAAAAACTTGAACATCAAATACCAAACATAATTTGAAAACAGATACACTGATGATACAGCATTTGCCACTTCTTTCTCAAACTCTGTTCAGCTGCAAAAGCACTTCTAGGCAACAGGGGACAGCGCCGCATAACTTGGAATAAAGGGAAAATAGTCCCCTAACTATTTAAATGAGGCCATTTTAATCCTAGAGTCTATCAAAGCACCAAATTAGTCCCCATACTCTCTTAATTTCAGTTGAAAGAATCCCCAAAGAGGAATATTTCCCCATTAAAGAGTCTTCAGACTAAATTGGCATTTTATGGACTTTGGGACTAAAATGTCTCCCTGTAAAGAGTCAAGGGATCATTTTGACACTTTTCTACTTTGAAATTACTATAAGCTGTAGAATCTATTAACTTTGGTTGATATTTTTCTTCTCATCCAAGTTTGGAATAGACAAGATCGGATATTTCTTCACTTTCTTATTTAAAAAAAAAAACCTGACATTATCTTAAGTGAGAAGAAATAAAGAGTGGATTATTCAACACATAAAAGTTCTACATGCATCATGATAGGAATGAGACAAGTTTCTCCAATGATTAGGGCAGAAACAATAGATTCTATTCCATTGGTACCAAACAAAACAATATAATCTGAAATACAGAAAAGAAAAATACCTACACTTCGAGATATAAGCGATCTATCCCAACCCTAACCCTAGATTCAAGACAACAATCACACACATAACCAAACCCTAAACATATTAATCCTGATTTATACACTATAATAATAACTTAATTGATTAAATTGTCTTTTTAGTCTTACGCCTAAAATAAATATTCAAACTATTTTGGTGAGCTCGTTGTCGACTTAGTGGAGCACAAATCAAATGATGCCGTAGGCGCTGATATAACATAACATCATCATTAAACTTACATGACACTTACAGAAACTAAAAGACACTCACTCATACTCTCATACAAACACTCATAACATAACCCAAACATTCTTTTGCACACACATATCTCGTAACATGAGACTCTTATTTATAATACAAAGATTCTTTGCACCTAAGATTAAATATTGTTCGCCGAAATTGACTCCGTATTTACTGGAACAAATAAAATTCTTTAAGGGGCATTTACACACACACCATTCAATTCATATGTGTTTACATATCTAACACTTGAACTTTGCTTTCTACATTCAATTGACCCAAATCTTTCATAACACATAAAGGATACCACCATTTTAACTTTTAAAAAGTGAAATTCTTATGAATAGGTAAGGTGCTACATATGTAAGAATTGAAGTTTAGGTGTTAGATATTTAAATACATAGGAATTGACTGTCATGTTTGTAAATATTCCATTCTTTTAATATCAGCAAAAAGAATACAGCTGCCTTTATAATTGAAAATGTCTTGCAAACGCCAAATATATTGATTAAAACGAATGAAAAAAAGAATATGTTTCTGAGTCCGCTTCAATTGGCTCTAAGATAGCCTACCTAAACATCAGACTTCCGGTTTGGATCTCCCACCAAAACAGAAGTGCATCTTCAGCACATTCATGGCCTACTTCTGTTTTTAAATGAATAATAGCATAATTTTTCACTTGAGCATTAAAGATTTCTACGTACACATAAGCCACACAATGAAAGAGAGAACTGGACTGTGTAAATATAAATTTACCTCAATATTTTCTTTGGCATGTCTCTGTTTGCTTTCTCCATAATCAACACCCGTTCCACCACCAATCTTTCCAATACGAAAAAAACTATTTAACGCAAACTTCCTCTTTTGATGGTCCAATGCCTCTTCCACCGAGGCAATATCACCGATATCATTTGTTTTCCTTGAAAGAAACAGCTTCGCCTCATATTTCTAAAATTTCAATTCATCACCTTAAAAAGTCTTTTAACGCATAATACAGAAGAAATGATAAACAAAAGGAAATTTTACATTTGTAGCACACAATTCTTATGTATTTACATGCCTCACACCTAAACTTTCATATTTACATATATGGGAAATGGTGTTTTAGACCTATGCATTAAAAGGTGTCTTTCACTTATAAAAAGTTATAATAGTGCTATTTTTTATATGATAAAATATTTCGGTGCTATGTGTATATATGAAAGTTTAGACGTGAGACATGTAAATGCATAAGAATTGTGCGCTATGGATGTAAATGTCCCTAAACAAAATGCAATAATGCGAACCTGAAACACAAACTCTAACTCACAATGAGTACACAAGTTACCATCGCCACCGCCGCAGTAAGGGCAGTATCTCACACGTTCAACAACAGCCTCATCCGGCTTCTCCATAGTTTGCTCAATTTGCAAAAGTTGGGTAATTAAAGCTTGCCGAGAAGTCTCCAAAGAATCAAGACCAACTTGGATGTTGTATCTCAAGCCTTTCATGTTTCGAAACCTGCTTCAAGAACAGATTTCTTACGTTAATAAAGGGAGGAATAGAAACAAAAGAAGAAAAATATTTACCATTTACAGAAACCAGACAGCGCAAAAAAAAAATGGTGAGTACAAATAATGTGATTGTTCACAAGGTACCGATCCTAAAAATGAAGGTAAAGCCACTTCTCTAAAATAATAATATAATGGTATGTTTAAATGCATACCACCCAATTCGTATCGATTTACATATCTAACACCGGCTCTTCGACTTTAACACATATTACCTTTCCCATGCATGAAAAGGTGCATTTCAATTTTAAAAAGTTAAATTGTGGCATTTTTTATGTGATATAAAAAATTTGGATGGAAGAAATGTTTAAAAAGGAAATTTAGGTGTTAGATATGTAATTACATAGGAATTGGGCGGCGGTATGTATGTGAATGCCCCTAATATAAACATATATAGATCGTCTCCAACGCTTAGAATATTGTTTGCAATTGTAAAATGAACAAAATCTTTAATGATATTCACTTGTGAGAGTGTAATTGAAGTTATGGTATAGAAGATGCTTCAAACGAGACCAATACTTAAAACGACAATCTAGGATGCAAAATGATCCCCTAAGGTAATTGCACGCACTTCTTATTTCATTATTAACTTCTAATCAAATATTGAAGCTCCAAGACAACAACATAAGAAAACAACTTCATTGCAACATCAAGGTTTATCAATAACATTAATTTCTTAATGACTTTATCTTCTTTTCCTAGCGTGTCTATCATTTTTTCCTTCAAAATAATTTCAGTCAAGAAAAATCATTACCGTCAAATCACGTAGTTGAAATAATTTTATTTATACAAGCTTTTTATTTATGGTGCATTTACATACATATCACCCAATTCTTATATGTTTACATATCTAAAACCTAAAATTTAATATTTACATGCATACCACTCAAATCTTTAACATCGCATCAAAAATACCACTATTACTTTTTTAAAAGTGAAACACATCATTTCATGCATAGGTTTATAACACCAAACTTCTATAAATGTAAATATCAAACTTTAGGTGTCAGATTTGTAAATAGATAAGAATTGTGTGGTATGTATGTAAATTTCCCGTTTTTTAAATAGTGGAATATCATGCCTAGAGTAAGGAGAATGCAAGGCATAATCCCTACCACCTTTCTAAATCTTTTCATAATCTACAACCTTCGGTTGCTATGACTCGCAGTGCTATTTTATTAGCAATTACACCAATGAAATGAGTTCTACTCACCCTATTTTGAGAGAAATCATCTATGAGTTCTCACATTATATTGAGGGGAATGATCTTTCGGCCTCTCCACACACAATATTGAGAAAAGCTATTATCACATGATTTCCCTCACCTTATATTGAAGGAAATAATCTATGAGTTCTCACACAATATTGAGGTGAATCATCACTTTAGAATTCCTCACCCTATATTGAGAAAAATGTCTCTTAACCTCCCCTCACACCATAATGAGAAGAGTTGTCATCTATTGATCTCACTCTTACCATATTAAGGGAAATCATCTATAAAATCTTTCTCACACTATACTGAACAAAATCACATGTAAATCCCACACCATAATGAGTAGAGTTCGTGTCTCTTGATCTCTCTCACACTATATTGAGGAAAATCATTTTCCTATTTGTTCTCACCATATGTTGAAGAGAATTATCTTTTAAACTCGGTATAGAGAAGAGTCTATGTCTCTTGGTACTATATTGAGAGAAATCTACACCTATACGTCTCTTCACACTATATTGACGAGAGTTCACACCTTTTGATTTCTACTCACATTATATTAAATAGAATCTTCATATCTATTATGTCTCATCACCTTGAATTGAGAAGATATTTTGGAAATCTTGATTATATGTGATCAAGTTAAAGGTCTTAATCCCATAAATCATGTCCATCCTAACCCCCAACCTTAGAGCCCAAGGTAGCATTGTTACCCTTCACAAACACATACGATGTTATAAGTCTAGTTTGAACTTTTCCATCATAATGGAGTGGATTATATGCCCAATTTGTCCGCCTAAGATTAGATCCACACCCTTGATTTGTAAAATTCTTTTGAATGAGATTGAATGAGATAACATGTGGTTCCTAATGACCCGAAATAATGCAATCATGTGATCTTGACGGGGATCGTCATACCCTCTAGTAAGTTGTTCACTCTTTTCCATGTTCATTTTAATGCCTTTGAGCCCATTTTTATTAAATTCCAAACCTCCATCCTCTATAGAGCCTTACAAAATCTATTATGATTTTCACTCTCCACATGACCAACTATTCATAATTCTTCATCAATATTGTACATAAGTATTAATTTACTAATTAAGAGTGCTCACAAATATCATTGAGATGTAATTAACATTAAAAGCTTGCTCTTTTGGGTAACCTCAACCCCTAGAATTAAAATAAACATTGAAAATAAACATTGTTCGAAGCAATTTTTTTTTTTTTAGGGGAATGTTATGGGACAAAATAACTCGTCTATCTTCCATTATATCACACGGGCATATAAAAGTAATGAATTAAAAACAATCAGTCTTCTACTGCAATAAAAAGTGGGCGATCTTTCAAAGCCCACATCTACACAGTTATGCTGTGGCTTTTATATTCTAACTTGAATCATTAATGTACAAAAATTATTATGAGGTTAAATATTTCATTAGACCTATTGTTGTTCCACGTTAACAACCACATACAAAATATTCTCTCAGTATGGGCGAGTAGCATAGTCATATAGCTAGCAATGTCCCATAAGAGTGATATATTGTTTAAAAAAGGTAAGTGAAAATATTGATGTTGCTCATCTATCAAAAATTTAGCATATGTTTAGGTCATGTGTAACTTGTTCAGAAGTTACAGCTGTTGTGAAAAAGTAGATTCAAGAACTTGTTCTAGAAAAAAAAAGGAAAATAGATAACTACAAAACAACTAAACTTAACATATTCCACACCCAAACTTCATCGGTTAAATATGAAGCACTCTATTAGCTCTATTAATAATGGCGACGCACATTCCGTCACTGCACCGCTTAACGCCCCTTCCGCCGCCGAAGGCGCCCACCTCAAGGACAAGGTGATCGACCATGTTGTATCCCACCCCCAAATGGCTAGTGCCAAGAGCTCCTCTAGCGCCATGCCCACCTGTGGCGGCAAGGTCATGACTGACAATTGCAAAAGCATCATCGACCCACACGAATGTCGATTCAAGATTTGTTGTGAATGCTACCTCGATACCCTCAAGAAAACCTACAACTGCACCTTGTGCAAGGAGCCATGTCGGGTCAGGAAGACAACGAGGACGAAGGACCGCTGGACAAGCCTGCTCAGACATTGCTACTATTGAAGCCGGAGTTGAGCAAGTCGTTCGTTCAGAGCCGGACCAACATAGAATTTCACCATAAAAAGTGGTTACGAGTATATAATGCTTATTATCCGCCATAAACATTCACCATCAGTCATGATAATATGTAAATTTCAACGTTTTGTATGCTATGTAAATCCCCCAAAAAGAAATTAGGAGCTCATGAATGACTGATAATATAAGAAACAAAATAGAAAAGAAAGGGATCAATGATCATTAAAAAGAAGCAAATGATGATATCATGACAATAGCCGATGAAAGTAGGCATCTGTGTGCCTGCAAAGAAGTAAAAAAGAAGCACTCTCATATAAGCTAGATCTAGGATTGCAGCTCACCATCCCTCACTATTTTTACGATGAGGGAAGAAACTTACAGCGTAAAGGATAGCATCTTCTCTCAGAAAAGAGATGAAATTACTGTACAAAGAAACGAGCATCATAGCTACAATAGAACGCTCAAACCTTAAAAAACCACCTAAACCATAATTTTGCAATGGGATTGAAACCAAAATTAAGAACATTGGTACAGCAAATTTACCAAATATTATTTTTTAGTCAAACTCCAACATATGCAAAAAATTATAGAGCCAACCGCCTTAAAAAACACTAAGGGGCGTTTGGGATCACTTTTATTTTTTGTTTTTTATTATTTCTTTTTATTTTATTTTATTTGTGTTTGAATTAAAATATGTTTGGTTATGAAAGTTATTTTTAAAAACACTCAAAATATTTTTTGGATGTTTTAAATATTTTTAAAAACAAGTTGATTTATTTTTAAAAATAAAATTTAAAACACGCAAAATCAAACATATTTTCAAAAACAAAAGAAAACAAAACAAAACAAAAATGAAAAATAAAAGTAATGCCAAACGGGTTCTAATATTCTGAGAAGAAGATAGCTGAAAATGGATGTAACACCAAAATTTATGGGTCAAGAATAGCAAGAAGTATTAGGTTACAGAGAATACACAGACATACAAAAACATAAGCAATAACTCATCTAACTTTCTTGAACCTTGAACGATTACAGGATATTGAAGTAGGTCTACTATTTCTATTCAAGTTTTCAATGAGAGCTTCAAATACAAATTGAAAATAAAACTAGGGTCATTTACATACAAAACACATTAGGTATTACAGTGCGTACCACACAATTCTTAAGTATTTATATATCAAACACCTAGACAATTTTATTTCAATGGATACCACTCAAATCTTTAACATCACATCAAAAATATTACCATCACTGCCCTTTTAAAGTCTGAATACACATGTTTATGCATAGTTTTATCCGTTTACGATACCAAGGTGTTATAAGTGAAAGAATCAATTTTTTAGTTTTCGATATGTAAATACGTAAGAACTATGTGGTAAGTATGTAATTTTGCCATAAAGTTATACAAATAAAAAGTATCATGCGTGCATGTAGTATCATGTATAATGGTTTATATATCACAGGGTCATGTCAGTAAATAACTAGGAAAATGACCATTAAGCAGAAGCAAGGTAAGACTAACCCTGAAGACACTCTGAATGATCTGGAATTGCAACCAACCCTGGAAATAGCCAGTTCAATCTTTTTCATCAATTCTCGAGAATTCTCTTCTTTTTGTTCTATAATATCAAGTGCATGCACCCACCACGTCATATTCTGAACTTTGCACTCTTTGGACAGATTGCAAACCTGAAATTAAAGAAAAGATAACAAGAAAATAATTTGGTGGAATTATAAACATAGATCAGGGTAGAATAAACTGGAAATGTAGTTCAAGCAAAAATAAATAAATAAATACAAGCAAATGTTTACTTACCTAAAATTACTGAAACTACTTCAGTATTTCAAGGACAAGATAAAAGAGTTAAATATGGCTTCTTTGTAGGGATATACAAACCATGTGTAAAGGTGACATGAGAACGATAGCACAAAATTAACCACGTAGGATAAACACTAAACAAATTCATATGGGCGAAGGAAACAAAATCTTTTAATTGGATGAAAAAATGGATAATTAAGGTAGGAAAGGAACGTCGAACACTGTATTTAGTTGTCTCATCAGGTACCAATAGTTACGGTAGTAAAAAAGAGCTCGTGTTCATGAACAACTTTTGTTTGGCTTGTTACGGAGCTCGTGTTCGGTTCGTTCGATAAACAAAGGAGGCGAACACAAACAGACCCGTGTTTGATCGTGTTTGGCTCATTATCCTTCGAATCAATTAAATAATTTTAAATAATAATATTTACAAATAAGTTATATATTAATATATACTAAAATAAAATTGTAATTATAAAATCAAGAAAAAATTAAGCTACTTAAAAATTAAACTACTAACACCTAAATAACAATGATATATATATATATATATATATATTATCAGATATTAAAAAAAACATAAAACTCTTATGTTAATTCGGCTGCCCATTCCCTACCCACGGTCATTTATTTGATATTTTGCTTTTTGAGTGGAAGAGCTTGGCGCCTCTGCAGCTCTGCTAGGTTTAAGGCTTTTTGTTTATTTTTGTTGTTCTCGCGATGTGAACAAAGGCCTGGGAATCGACAATAATTCCTTGCATACCTTGCTCGCAGAGAACTAGAGAAGTACTCATCTATCTCCTTTTTGAGGTGTGAGTAGCCAATATGAGCTTTCTTCTACTCTCTTTCTTCTCTCTTTGTATTTCTATTATTTATAAAATATATAATCCCTGTGTGGGGAATGGCATGCGAATGACTTCATTCTCAGTCTAGGATTTTGTGTGCCAAGCTACCAACAGTTTTAGGGTTTGGTTTAACATGCATCAAGTCAAATATTCTTTCATATTTTCATTTTTGGTGATGCTAAATGAATACATGAGCAGAACTGCGGAGGCAATTAGGGTTTGTTTTTGTAATTTTTGTTAGGGAAAATGAGTTACTGACATAGTGACTTACTGTTAGTGTATATTGATTCATGCAATCTCATTGCATTATCTTACATTGGAACCAAGGCAGTGACTATGAGCATTTTGATATTATGACTATAGGGTTTGCATTAATTGATTTTTTTCATAGATGTTATTTATGTTAAATTATTCTTGCTTAAATACACCTGTTATTTGTGGACAAATGCTTGCTTTCTAAGATTTTTATATTAATAAGGATATGTGGTTTCTTATGCTTTTGTGGTGTAAGACATTGAGTCATTCCAGCAACTTCTTAATTTCTTTTGTTTGGGATTGAGCAAAAAGTTTAATAGTAATTTAAGCATATAAATATATATTTTGGCTATTATTTGTAATATAATTTCAGTTGGAAATTCTTATTTTGATTGTATTTTATTGAAATTCTTAATTTGATCAAAAATCCATTAATTTGTTTACTTGTTATGACAAATTCGGCACTTCAAATCTTAAATTTCAAGCTTATTTGAGTTATATTAAACAAAACAAACCATTTCAAACATTTCAATTTGAACACAACCACAACATTAGGAACAAATACAAAAAACGGCTATTTTCGAATGAGTCAAACACAAAAAGAGTCTTAGCTTGCTCGTGTTCGGCTCATTTACACCCAATAGTTTATTAATAAAAGAGTAAAGTATTAAAATATTCCCCTAACTATTTACATCGTGTTCAACTCATTTACACCCCTATCGGTAGTTTATTAATAAAAGAGTAAAGTATCACAGTAGTCCCCAAACTATTTACATGGGGCCATTTTAGTCCTCAAGTCTATAAAAGTATCAAATTAGTATCTACACCCTTTTAATATGGGTTGAAATAGTGTCCACGAAAGACTATTTTAACTCCCATTAAAAAGTCTAGGTACTAAATTAGCACATAGACACTAGGATTAATCTGACCCACTACAAAGAGTTAGGGGACTATTTTGACATTTTCTCATTAATAAAAGCAAACACTTATTTATTGAACAGAAGTTGGATAGCTTCGCAGGAGTTGGCAATCATGAGTACTATATCCATAAAGATATAGTCAATCAAAATCAATACTAGAACACCTCAAAGTACAAAATGCAGACACACATAGTTCTATTTTAACAACACCCTTTCATTTACTTCAATATAAATGAAGGAAACAATTTCATATAATCCAACGAAGAAAGGGAAAATCATGAAAAGACCGGGAAAGTTACCTCCTTATAGGAACTTTTGAAGTCCTACCAAAGACAATTTTGAAATAAAAGCGGACAAGTACTTCTGCTTAATATTTTCACATGTTTCCCTTAGGCAATCAACTGCATAACACCTAGATGGCAGTTCATTCTTAGCTCCGTCCTTGCATACATTATCATCGACTGTGGACAAATTTAGGATGGCATGATTCTCCAAGGATTCTTCAACCATAGAATTAGGGCTGTAATCCACACTAACTTTCCGTCTCTTAACGTAACGTCGTTCATACCTACCAGCAAAATCCCTTTTTTTCCCATTAGTTTCAGAACAATGCATTCCCATGAATGGACATGAGAAATCAGAAGTGAGAGAAAGCAATTCAGCCAGATTGTGATGAATGTGCAAGCTCAACAAAGGGTCCAAACGGTAATCATCGCTGTGTTCATCGGCCATAGCCAGTGCTTCTTTGTAGAGCAAAACTGCTCTCTTGTTATCTTCTTCAATTACAGCCACCCCAGCTAATCCATTCAGTGCCACGGCAACTCGTCTGAGAGCTTCCTCTCCTTCAATCTTCGCTTTGCCAATAAGAACCTACAAAAGCAGTTTCTTATAATTTTCAATCCAAAAAGCATAACTTTGGTTAGAGAGAGTACCTATCAGACTCACTTCAAGAATCTCTTCCATGGACAATGGAGAATTCTGCAACGAGCAAAGACCAGAACTCCCAACTTGAGGATGGCAACATGCCTGACGAAGTTTTAGAAGTGGAGCTAGAAGCTTTCCAACTTCATCATGAGAGAGAATGCTATCCCATGAACTTTCAGAACCTGAAAATAAGTTGGAATTCCAGGAATATTATCATATTTTTTACAGTCCTATCTATTCAATCCAAAACATCAAATATCCAAAATGTGTTCTCTTTCATGACCATTACTTCTGAAACTTCGGATGATTTCTTGTGCGCATCTCAGACATGTTTCATGTTGCTTTTGATAGAAATGCTCTTCAACAGGTGATAGAGTCAGCCACAGTAAACACTCTTCCTGTGGAGGCAACTGCAATTCCTCTGAAACATGAATCTTAGATGAACGCCACATAAGTTGCTTGAACATTTTGTGGATGAATTCCATTGCCACTTTATCTTTCCTCTGAAACGAAAAAAAAAGATGTTATAAGAAAATGATGAAATTACTAGTAAAAATTATCTGATTTAGCCAACTAGATAAGCATTATTCAGGGCAACAAATCCTCATTAAATGATTGCTAAACATTGATGGTGATGAAGATGCTTTTACATACTGATGCATTTTGGAACCTCAAATTGCTGACAATTGTATGCAAGGGTAGAATTAAATGTTATAAAAAAGGCTCCGAACTAAACTGGCACCACCATGAGTTCGTAAAGAAATGTAGATAATTCTTTCACGAGATTATTCCTACAGTACTGCAGTCAGATAATTATGTCAAAGATGTACATATGTAAAACCCGCATAACAACATGACAGAAATATCCATTACGCTCCTGATAAGATACAATTGCACCAGTTAAGCTCATATAAAGATAAGAAGAAAAGTGTGAGGGCCTTTTTAGTCCCTGAGTTTATAAGAACATCAATTTAGGCCCCAGACTCCTCTAATATGGGTTGAAATAGTCCCCGATGAGGATTATTTTAGCTTCCATTAAAATAGTTCGGGAAATAAATTAGCGCATTTATAAAATTTGAGCTAAAATGACCCAAAGTGAATAATCAGAGGACTATTTTGGCACTTTACTCATTTTAAAAGGCAGCAATTTACTGCTGTCTCTGAGAGAGAAGGCTAGTGAACTTTGCCCCTCTTTCATTAATGGAAATATGATGTGGGGAGACAATTAGATTTGGAAATGATTTCATGACTAACTAGGATCCAAGTCACAATGAAGTGCATTAGCATCTTTTTTGTTTGCCCAGCCAAGGGGTTTATTGATGAAGGTGAGATTCAAACTAGGGACTTTGGCAACAACTTCAATAGCTCTTTACTAACTGAACCACTTGACACCGATACGTGTAACTTAAATCAACATAAGTGCCCAAATCAAGATAGGATAATATAAAAAGATGAGGAAAACCAAATTTCCATCAAGTCCTCCATGAAACAAGAATATGCACTCACAAGTGATATTGGAGTTAACCAAATGACAACGAAACAAGACTTTATTACGAAGATCAATTAGGGGTTACAACAGATACTAATAGAAAGCAGGAAATAACAAAAAAAAAAGAAGTACAAACACCGAACTAGGGCTGGAATTGAAGTGTCAAAGGGGCTGACAAAGGTGTCTGCAGTTGGGGGAAAGTAGGGGTGCTTTTGGAAGAAAGCGGGCAAGGGAAAAGGGCTGCGGTTTGGAGGGCAGCAGGGAAAAAGGTGTCGGAGTGGTGGCAAGATGTGGCAAGGGGGATGACGTGGCGCTTTTGAACTAGCCGGCTTAACCGGCTGGTAAGGAAACCTGTTGTACCCGGTCTAGGATGGGCCGGTCAAGACTTCTATGAGACTAAGCGGCAATGCCGCCAGTCCCTCCCCTATCTTTCCTTTTATGTTCACCCTGTTGGAGTGTTTATATATTTTGTTTTCTGAAATTAGGGTTAAGTCATGTTTAATTGTTGTTTTCAGATTCTGCGTGGAGTCTCCTCTTTTCCTCTCTAGGGCTGTATCTGACGACGGGTGGTGCTTCAATTGTATCCATCTCCAAGGAGATGATGTATTCTCTCTGATTTTCTCCTTACCACTTCCCCCTTATCTCCCTTTAGTCGTCGTCCATTCCTTCTCACCCCAGTTGTCCCTACTGCCCCCTTTCTCTATAGCCATCACTGTTGTTCAGCCCTCCAGCCATCCACTAGCACCCTGCCGCCGCTTTTTCTGCAGCCCAATGTGTCGATCATCCTCTCCAATCATACCCTACAGCCGCCCAACATTCCTAACGCCTTACCACCTACCAACACCTTCTCTAGCCTCTCCCAATCCCACCGCCAACCAACCTATCCCTTTCTCCCCCACTCCTAGCCACCGGCTGCCATCATCCCTACTTTCCAATGCCTGTTCCCCATTCCCTACCACTAAAACTCTCAACCACCTCATCGACGCCACCACCGCCTTCGGATCACCTCTTCCGGCCTTAACCGGGAATTGGAGTTTGTTGTGCTTATTTTTGTTCGAGTTTTATTGTAACCCTAATCCATTTGCTTAATAAAGTTTTCTTAAGTTTCCGTTGTTTTAAACTAATTTCGGTATCATTTGGTATCAAAGATAGTCTAACCCTAATCCTATCCTAGGGTTTCCTAGCATCTTCCATAACCCCAAAAAAATTCCTTCATACCACCAAATAACATTTCTACTTCCACAAATTCCAAACTCCAACCATGTCACCAACGAAATACATGCCCGAGCCTACCTGAGAAGAGATATGGTGAGAGTTCCATCGTCTTCGAGGCTTCTGGATAACCCAAGGGGAGGTTACCCTATATTGAGATCTCGAGAGTCGAGGGGAAAAAGAGAGGAGGACCTGAATCCCTTTCATGGGGAAAATTTAAGTGATGAAGAAGATAGACCACGGCGTTTTGGAATCAGTATTGGATGAAGCCTAGATAAGAGCATGTGAATCCATTCCATGTGGAGAATTTCAGAGAGAACATATCATTTGGAGGGTACAAAAAATTTAACTTCCAAGTGAATCTACCAGAGTTTGATGAAGATATGGATCCACATGATTTCGTTGAATGACTACAAGAAGTTGAAAGAATCTTCGAGTATAAGAAAGAGTCAGAGGATAGAAAGGTGAAACTAACTGCCATCAAGTTGAAAAAGAGTGTCTCATTGCCGTGGGAGAACTTACAGAGACAGAGGAAAAGAGAAAATCTTGATAAAATTTTCAAGTGGATGAAGATGAGAAAAGAACTGCAGAGGACATATTTCTAAGGCTTCACCACTTGCAGCAGTGATATCTTTCGATGGAGGAATTCACGGCACAGTTCAATCAGTTGCAGATGACGTGTGAGATGGTAGAGCCAGAGGAGCAGACGATAGTTCATTATATAGGGGACCTAAAGCCAACTATCGGTAACGTGGTACAACAACAACTCTATTGGTCACTTCGCGATATTCTAATTCTAGCGTTGAAAGTGGAGAAGCAGTAGAAACATAGTAGACAACCACCCCCAGTTAGCAACTCTAGCAGGAGCAAACCTCAGGGCGTTACGAAAGTTGGTTTTGAGAAGGACAGAACCACCCCCAGTGAGAAGAAGCCTGAGAAGAATAACACTCCCATCACAGTCCCTGCCATAAAATGCTTCAAATGTCATGGATTTGAGCACATTGCCTTTAGCTGCCCTACGAGCTGAGTCGTGTATTTTATAAAGCAGGGCGTCAGGGCGTCGTGGAGGTTGGTGACGAGGAGAAAATTGAGGTGCATGGTGAAATGTATCAATTGCCACCAGATGAAGGAGAAGCACTTCTAAATTGACGGATCCTACAGGCTAGGGATATGAGAGATCCGCATTCGCTTCGTCACTATATCTTCCACACTCGTTGCATGGTGAACGAAAAAGTATGCAGTCTCATTATCGATAAAGGGAGCAGTAAGAATGTGACATCCATACATATAGTAGAAAGTTGGGCCTCAAGACGTGACTGAAGAAAAACAGAGTCAACATTGAACAGAGATGCCTAGTAGAGTTTTCAATCGGGAACCCGATACAAGATCAGATGTGATTTGATGTGGTTTCTATTAATACCTGCCACCTTCTGTTGGGGACACCGTGGCAATTTGACTGGAGAAATCAGCACGATGAATGTAGAAACACATATTACTTCACCAAGGACGGGAAGCATATCATCTTACTTCATTCGGCAAAGCCTAAAATTATAAGAGCCCTGTTGACCTCAATTTTCGTGAGATCTAGTATTTCTCGTAGGAGTTAGGATCTAGCCTTAGGGGTCTTCCTGCGACTATCTTAGAACCTTAGAAGTGGTGCCCGCCTTGTTTTAGTTCGACCTATTTCCGTCCTCTTTTGGAGTTTCGCGTGTGCGGTATCGACTTCTAACACTTAGAAGGATGAAACCGACATGAGGAAACCCAAAATGGATTCCTATAGGACCTTCCCGAGCCTTAGGGTGGCCTTCTGCACAATTCGCACTCCTGCGCGCACCAGCTTCGCAATTCGGAGAGTCGACGTGTCCGATCTCCGCAATTCACATTGCCTCCTCTGTTACTTGTCGAATGCTCGAGTAAACC